GTTGGCAATTTTCAAGGTTTTTCCATCATCATATTTTGATAGAAGTTTGTGATAATTGTCCATAACTTTTTCCAATGATTGGCCAGAAAACTTGAGAACATTATCCATCTCAGTTGCAGTTTCACCATCAGCTCCCAAACGCACCATGGCCAAGCAGGTTTGAATTGAAAATGGTGAAAATATAATACTCTTTCCACTGTCCTTTTGGTAGATTTCCGAGAAAATATCTTTACTGAAATTAGCTAAACTAGCGGAGAATTGTGGAGAACCTGAAGTGGTCCTGCTATGTCCGACGAGACATAGCAGCAAAGTGCTTAAAATCGTTGTTAGATTTCCTGAAATTAGAAAAGTGTTTAGTTTATACTGAGGGGAATTAACAAACACTACGCTTTGGAACGAAATTCATTTAAGACGGAAAAAATGAGGTTAAATTCGGTTGGTCCTGACGTTTTATAACCTTGGCCATATGAAAACTTTAATTATGACTGAATCGGATACTCCGAAATCCCCAAAAATTTGAAAAATTAATCCAACGTAAACTATGCATATTTTGAAAACATTTTGATAGGAGCTAATCTACCCATAAAGAATGCGAAATATTAAAAATGATAAATGATTTGGTTAGAAATTTTGGTCGAAACCCTCAAACTGACGAATATCAGAAGGTACTGCTGTATGGTACTGAAGTTACTTTTTATACCATCCACCATAGTATGGGGGGTATATTAAGTTTGTCATTCTGCTTTAACCTCGAAATAAACATTTTAGACCGCACTTAGTATATATATTCTATATTGTCCGTCTATACGTCTGTGCAAATCACTCTAGCTTCCGAACGAAATGAAGTAGGTTGACAAAAATGTACTCAAATGTATATTATGTCCGCAGGACTTTTGGTATTGAAAATGAGCCATGTAGGTCCACGTTTTGATATAGCCCCCATTTAATGGTACCTCCCTATTTCCGGTATTTTAACAATTTAAGCGACATTATTCGCCGGAATTGTTTAATATTTGGTATTTGAAGTTCGTAATGGGTACTACAGCCTATGACAGAAAATTGTCTGTACAGGTTCACGTTTGCGTATAGCCCCCATATAACGGTATGTCCCGATATTTGGTATTTAATGTCGTCCTATAGACCCTAATATAAAGCCAATATTCGGCATTTTTAAGATTTTAACAGAATTTTTAACGGATTTTATTTTTTTTAAATTGTCCAATTCGTTCCAAACGGTGGGTATTCAAGGTTCGACACGGCCGAACTTACAGCTTTTTTACTTGTTTGAGGATTAAATCTATCCATAGCGAAAACAAAAGTCAGATTTAGATGGAAATTGGGGCAGATGCCTTAAAAATACTACAACTCAGGAAGTATTGGAGTTAAAACAAAAACTTATATCAGCACAAGGTCTAATGTGTATAAGGCTTATATCGGACCACTCCTTCTGGTACATCCCCAAATGGTTACAATTTTTAATAATTATTATTCTTATAAAATATGAAATAAAAGTCCGATTTTCTTTGAAGTTCGGATATCTCAATATTAATATCAACACAAGATCGGGTGAATATATGGAATATATAGGGCCACTCCTTCTGGCGATTTTCGTCACATTTTTTCACGGATTTGTCCAAAAATTGGTATTTGTAGTTCATAATGGGTTCTAGCTCCGGTGGCGAAACATTGTATGTATAGATCCACGTTTTTGTATAGCCCACACAACGGTACCTCCCGATGTTCGGCATTTTAATAATTTTTGCCACTTTTTTCAACGGGTTTGTCTAGGAGTTGGTATTTTTAGTTCGTATTGAGTTCTTGCCCCGGTGGCGAAACATTATATTTATAAGTTCACGTTTTGCTATGGCCGATACCTCCCTATAGACGGTGTTCTTATGATTTTTGCCACATGTTTCCACGGATTTGTCTAAAAATTGATATTTGTAAATCATAATTGGTTCTAGCTGCGGCGGCGGTACATTGAAAATTTAGGCCCATGTTTTCTTATAGTACACATAGGATAAGTGTACCTAAGTTCGGCATGTCCCAGTAGTCGGCACTTTTTATTTTTAAGCCCAAATAAATGAAACTATTACAACTAAATGTATTTTGTTTACTTCAAATATATTGCCAGCTATCTTTGGGCACAATTTCGCTAAGAAAAGATGATATATTCTAATAAAAATTAAATTTTTGTCTGGGAAGGTCCTCAACAATTCATATTCTTAAGAAAAGTACAATAAAGACGTCGAATCAGATTACCTATGCAAAAATATTGTATTTTAATGAATTAATTTATTATTAATAATAATTATTCTTACAAAAAAATTGGTATGCCGACTGGTGGAAAATGCCATACCGGCAATTGGCAAGTAGTACCGACTACTGGCAAAAAAACATACAAAATTTCGAATCTGAATAAATTAACTTTGTAATAATTGAAATATTCCACTCAGAATGGTGAGCGATTAAAAACGCGAAAATTCTAAAAGTGCCGACTACTGGTACACTTACCCTATAACGATACCAACCGAAACTCGTTATTTTGATAATTTTGAAATTGCTTTAAATTTGGTATTTAAGAAGATTTAATAGATGACAATTCTTGAAGTTCAAGTTTATCTGTGGAGTTCCCGTTTTGGTATCGCCCCCATATAATGGCCTCACCCAATTCATTGTTTTTTGAAAAGTTTAACAGCATTATCCAAACGGTCTAATTGGTATTTATAGTTTAAAGTGAAACACGTTTGAATTCAAATACTTTTATATACAAATGTTTTCTTTGCCAAATGGTGGAGGGTATTAAAATTTCGGCCTGGCTGAACTTAATGTTTTTTAATGGTTTTTATTTATTTATTTTTTTTTTTTTTGTTTTTGTTAATAAACTTTTTGTTCTTCTGAAAGTTTGACTTACCTTTCAATCCCATTGTTTCTTTCCTCTTGAACCCGTCCGATCACGATTACGATGACCCTGGTCGATCACTATTTGTGAAATAAAAATAATCAAGCTATTCGATTGATTTATATTTCATAGACCATACTTGGTTATCAGTTGAAGTGGATGAAACTGAATCTATTAAAAGTATTATAAAATTGTCTTTCATGTATTTGTTGTTCTAGGTGCACTAAGGTCGCGAGCATTTCTCTTGCTCTGGTAAAATTGAAATAAATTCTGCAAAATTTACGAAGCAAATGGGAAACAAAATTTAATTTATGTTAAACACTCATTATTTGATGATATTGTGGAAAACCCTACACCATTGAGAGGAAATTCAGTTTGAAGCGATTTCAAGTAAGAATTTGGGCCTAAATGAGATCTCTCGTACCAAACAAAATTTATTCTAGTCGGAACTAAATTGAAAACAAGTAAAAAAAAAGCTGTAAGTTCGGCCGGGCCGAACTTTGAATACCCTCCACCATTTGGTACAAATTTGGAAATTTTCAAATAATTAAAATCCATTAAAAAATCTTTTATAATCTTATAAATACCGAATGTAGACGTATATTAGGGCCTATACGACGACGTGGACCTGCATACGCAACTTTTGTCATAAGCCTGCACAGACAATTTTCTGGCATAGACTGTAGTATCTATTACGAACTTCAAATACAAAATTTGAATTAATTCCGGTATATAATGTCGCTAAATTCATCAAAATACCGAATATCGGGGGGAGCTGTTATATAAGGGCTATATAAAGGCGTGGACCTACATGGCTGTAGTATCCATTACGAACTTCGAATACCAATTTTGAAACAATTCCGGTAAATAATGTCGCTAAAATCATCAAAATACTGAATATCGGGAGGTACCGTAATATGTGGGCTATACGAAGACGTGGGCCTACATGGCCAATTTTCTGTCATAGGCTGAAATATTTATTACGAACTCCAAATACAAAATTTGAAAAAATTTCGGTATATAATGTCGCTAAAATCATCAGTCTAAAAATCATACAGTCTAAAACAGAAAATAAGCCATGTAGGCCCACGTCTTCGTATAGCCCCCATTTAACAGTACCTCTCAATATGTGTGTTTTTTTGATGATTTTAGCTACATTATTTACCGGAATTGTTTCAAAATTGGTATTTGAAGTTTGTAATGGATACTACAGTATAAAACCGAAAATGGGCAATGTAGGCCTACGTGAGCAGAACATATCGCAATATTCCATTTGGCAAATATTGAAAAATGAGCTCGGGGTAAAGCCATTGAAATTCCAAAAAGTGTAAGAACTTACACCGCAACAGAAAGAAAATAGACTCAAAAGAGCTAACGAGTTGTTTCGCTTTGCCGAAAGTGGTGAACTGCCGAATTTGGCTTTCTCCGATGAGAAAATATTCGTTGTCCAGCAGTTTGTAAACAAACAAAATGATTGTGTTTACTTGCCAAAGAGGTCAGCTGATAATGTGCACCTTCGATTGGCCACCAGAACTCAAGCGCCGGCCATGGTGATGGTGTGGGCCGCCATAACAGCCTATGGTCGCTCTCCGCTCGTATTAATTGACCGTGGCATCAGAATTAATGCCGAATGGTTACAAAATGAGGTTCCTTGCTTCATTTCCAGCGCATAATGACCCTAAAATCTCCGGATACCAATCCGTTGGACAATTGTTTCTGGAGTATTTTGGAAAGCAAAGTTGACACTAAAAAATACCAAAGTGTCGATCACCTCAAGAAATCATTTCGCCGGGAATGGGCTAAAATATCGCAGAGCAACATTCGAGCAGCGTGTGACGGTTTCATTGGCCGTTTGAAGGCCATAATTCGTGCCAAAGAACTCGAACAAATCTAAACTTATTTTAAATTGTGATGCCATTTCCGACATTTTTTGTTTTCATTCAATAAAATTTAAACAAAAAAGGTAAAAATTATGGCGTTTGACTTTGTTGTAGTTTTTTTTTTATCTTACCTTGTATATCATATTTTTTTAGGTCCGATACGAAATTGACAAATTTGGTCCATTTCATTGGAATCTACTCCATAGAGGGTCAACAAGTTGAATAATCATAACAGAAGTCAAAATATATTTCAATAATCGAACATTGCCTGAGGGTATACATCTGTTGGCACAATCGGCTGATACTTTTTATCCTGTTTAATCAGGATAATCATAGCAGTTTTATGTTCTGATAACAATAGGGTATTTATTTGATTTAATTTTGGAAAACATAATCTTTTTATTTTCCCACAAAAGTTCCCTGGAAGAGGGGAACAGAATCCTCATTTACTATGGCATAGTAGAATGGATGATTGGCTTTGAAATCCAAAGGTCTGGTGCGGGTCATAATTCCAATTTCTAAAAAAAAAACACAATATTTGAATATTTTTCTTATATCAAATGAAAATTTTGACTTCATACTTGTAACACCAGCAGCAGTGGTACCCACTTCGTTAACATCAATGAAGGCTTTGTGGACAACTTCCGAGACCTGAAGTGGTTCAATTCCTTGGAGCATATTGCTCAAATTGGCCTGAGAGAACATTTGCTTCATGCCCAGCTGTAAAAGAAAACAAAACTAAGAAAATCCTTTTTACGAAAGTCGTCAAATATCCCACCTTTTTCAAAGGCTCATTAAGAACCACTTCAAATTCTGCCTTAAATTTGGGCAAGAAAAGGCGCACCCCTCTTCTCCTCAGACCTTGGCCGGCCAGTGATGCCAATGAAAATGTTTTCAATTTCTCCACCAAATCAGGCAAACCATTGCGCTCATTAGGTAATATAATCACCATGGAAAGATCACAATCTCTGTAAGGCAAACGAATGGCAGTGGCATCCAATTCAGAAATTTCCTTGGCAGACATCATTCCGGACTTGAACATCATCTGGACTTTAACGGTATTCTTATCATCGATATAGAAGTCTTCCTCTTCGGTGTATTTCAAATCGAATGGTTTCTCCCAGTTGCCCTTGAAATAAATGGCACTCAAGAGCACAAGACGTGTATCGGTGGTAAGTGATGTCGGGCTAACAATATCATGGATAGTGTTATCAGTTTTCGATTCAACCCAAGAATTCATTAATTTGGCTGTTTTTGCACCTTGACCGAAGTCTACATTTTCCACCGCTGAGTAAAAATTATTGGTCAAAACATTATTGTAGGTATCTTTCAGATCATAGTCTTTGGCCACATAGATTTTATTGGCAATTTTCAGGGTTTTTCCATCATCATATTTCGATAGAATTGTGTGATAATTGTCGACTACCTTTTCCACCGGTTGACCTGTCAAACTGAGGCCATCATCCATCTCGGCGGCTGTTTCTCCATCAGCCCCCATTCGCACCATGGCCAAACAGGTTTGAATTGAAAATGGTGAAAATATGATGCTTTTATCGCTGTTCCTTTGATAGATTTCCGAGAAAATATCTTTGCTAAAATTCTCCAAACTCGAATGGAATTTCAGCGAATCTTGGGAATCTGCTAAGGTTCCGGACAGGCATAGCAGCAAGGTGCCTAAAATTATTGCTATACTTCCTGAAATCAATGTAATTCTTATGATTTGGGCAATTACTGAAAAAAACATCATGTTTTGCGTATGTCTTACCTTTCAGCCCCATTCTTTGTCTTTGCTCTATCCACTCACGACCGCGTTGAAACTAAACAAATATTATTTTCGCTTGAATATAAATAAGCTATTCTCTTCATTTATATCAGAGAGGCCAGAATTTGATTATCAGTTTTTTTTTTTTTTGTTTAAAATTGAATCTAATGTTTTTACTTCAAGATTGTCAAATACAGTATTTGTTGTTCTAGGTGCATTGAGGTCGAATGTATTTTGTGCCATTTTTTTTTTTATTTTATAGATTTTAAAAATTCTGAATTGGCTTGATACTGCAGGGGAAAAACGCTATCTGAGCGTGCATAAATATAGTCCAAACTTTGACCTATACCAAAAGTTTCCTAAGAGAAATTCTATTGACTTGCATTGGATGACGTAGTTTGTTTTCATACAACCCACCATAATATTGAAGGTATATTTTTAAGTTCTCCTCATGTTTGCTACTCTTCCTCATATTCAATGTACCATGAATTAATCGTTACATCTTCTGAAGAAAATTCTCCTACAGCACAATGATTCCATACAACGAAAAAATAATCAACAAGTAAGCAAAGGCTACAGTCGAGCGGGGCCGACCGTTGAATACCCTACAACACTATAATAAACGATACAGTTTATATAGGCGAGATATGTGACAAATAATAGAAGAAAAGCATCAGGTTTTAGTTTCTAATTTTCGAATAATAGCAACTAATTTGCTCATTTCCAATTTATTGGAAGATGTTGCACGTAAATGGTCTTGCTAGATCTGGAACAAATATTTCCCAAAGACCTATAATCTCTCAGAAGTGGCAAAAGATTAACATTTATTATTGGTTTTTGACTGAAACGCATCTATATGAGATACAGACATTTGACTATATTCGTTAACGAAATTGTCAGAAGTGCGTCTTTCCTGTATTTGTGAATTCTCGAAAAAGTCTCTGGAATGGACATTTTCGTATTTTGTCTACAAAAGTTGGCAAACTCCTTCACACATTGAATATTTTTGGATGGCCATCCAAAACTGCTTGGCTTTTGCAATGTCCTGTAACCCCCATTCAAATGTGCGTGAGGATCGGGCGATAATTACGACCTGCCGACAATTTTGCAGTTGTTTGGTCCATTTCAACCCCTAAATATATGGCGATCATCTCCAAAAAGAGTAGGCTTTTATTCCGACCCTCATCTTATCCCCATGCAAAATTTCGTTAGGATCGGGCCATAAATGAGATCTGTATATGATATCCTGATATCCTAACTACTTAGTTTTGTTAGCTGTAGAAATATAACCAAATGTTTAATTCAAAATGAAAATATGCCAAAAATATGACAAAATTGAAAAAATATGAGAAAATGTTACAAAACCAATATTTTCATCTTTAGAGAGATATTTTTATGCGATTTTTTTAGACGTTTTTTCTTTCCTGCCAAGAGGCCATTCTGAATTAATGAGAACTGTCGAAATCAGTTCAGCCGTTCTCGACATATAAGGGATCTTTCAAGCATATCTTCTTTGATAGACATATATATCGCACATATTTTGCTATATATCCGTTTTGTTGGATGTTAACATCAATGTAAAGATCAGGAGTAACCTTGTCATGGCTTTGTGATTTCGCCGGGACTTAAAATATTCGCGGTTTAATGAAAAATGATGAATTTTTTCAACACAAAAGATATGGTCTATTTTACCCGCTAAATATTATCCGATGACCACCCAAATTGGTAGGCTTCTTCCCCGTCCTAAACTCTAGCTACATGCGAAATTCCGCGTCGATTGGTCTATAATTGCGACCTGTACAGCTACTGCAAAATCCGACATTTTTTCAGTATTTGGTCCATTTCAACCCCTAAACATTTGGCGATCATCTCAAAAAGAAATAGGGTTCTATTTTGGCCCAACCCCGACCTCCATTCCAAATTTCGTGAAGATCGGGCCATAATTGCGACCTGTAGAGTGATTACAAATTAACATGGACCGACGGACAGACGGACGGACGGACATACATAGCTAGATCGACTCAGCTCGGCGAGCTAGGATGATCCATATATACTTTCCTATGTGGGAAACCAATATTTCGTGGTGTTACATAATTTTTGGCCCAATCAAACTTATAATACCCCCAACACATAGTGTTGTAGGGTATAAAAAGTTTAAAAAATTATATTGGTTTCTAATCTAATAGATCAGATTTCATTGTGAGTCTTTATACCCTACACCACATAGTGGTAAGGGTATTATGTCTTTGTGCAGTTGTTTGCAACATGGAGAAGGAAACGAGATAGACCCATAGTCACTTTTGAGAACCTTCATAGAATCACTTTCTGAGTCGATTTATGCATATCAGTCCGTCTGTCCGTCCGTCCGTCCGTCTGTCCGTCTGTCCATGTATTCTTGTGAACAAAATGCAGGCGCATTTATTATCCGATTGAGATGAAATTTTCCAAACAATATTTTTTGCCCAAGGACGAACCCCATTGAAATTGGTGAGAATCGATATAGCAACCATATATATATGAATAGATATAGCAACCATATATATGTTTCATTCGATTTCAGGTTAATTGTGCACTAAATGGGCAATATCAGCCCAAATCACCTGAATTTTCGTACATAAGACCGAATTCAGTCTAGAAGCTAATACGTCAAATTTGGAGATTCGTAAAATCCACGATAGAATTAGATAGATTTCGATTTTGTACCAAATACCTCATAGAGCTCTGAAATGCCCTGTATAAACCTTTTTACGAGAGCTCTACTAAATATGCATAGTGGTGTAGGGTATCATATAGTCGGCCCCGCCCGACTTTTGAGCTTTCCTTACTGGTTTTTATTTTCGAAAAAATTGACCATCCATCCGATGCACTGAAACTTTTCTCAAAATTGTACTATGCGAAAACCGTGTGGATAAAGTATTCGGTTTGGATTTTTAGGCGAAACTTTTTTATAGCCGTGGCCATATACCCCAGGTACCCCAATATTTAATACAGAGCTTTGAAATTTTCGGAAGAGTTTGGGGTTACATCTACAATCATTTTTTTAATAAACATATCATGTTGACCACTCTGTGGCCAAGTAGTATACATTTTCCATTTCTCCCGAAATAAATAGAGACCTGAAAATCAATATTGAGGATTCCGGCCCTATTCCTTCACCCATTACTAAATGTAGTACCATTTAGTACTTTGCGTACATATATAAAAGACACATTTTCAAACCACCCGCAAATCTCAAACACAGATACCACCAGTAATTGCATTACATTTTTAGAACATTTTGGTACTTTTCGCACTCTTTTAGTGCAAAATTCTACATGTCTACATACCAAAATTGATCCTCGAGCAAAATTCTAACTTCCGCCGTTAGTACCACTTCGTCTTTTTGTTGAGCAATGTATTCATTTCAAAATCCACTTCATATCTCAGCCCTATACACGAATATGGATCATTATTCATATGTGAGTACTTTTCGTACATCTACGGTAAGTATTTTCAAAACCATCTCCATATGTCAACATTGCACACCGATTCTGACCACAATACCAAAAATCAGATATCTAACTCAATTTAATAAATGATACAAATTTAGCATTGAATGTACGAATACTAAATATGTATCATTTATTAAATTGTTTGAACTCTTTCCAAATTTAATTCCAAATTTGAGGTTCATGGAAGTTAGCATGGAGCTAGAGCTTAGGGCTGGGCAGAAGCCTTCCAATTTTGATGGTCATCTGGTAATATTTAGGGGGTGAAATAGGCCATAACATTTGGGCAAAATAAAGGTCACATTTTCCATCAAACCGCGAATATTTTTAATCCCAGCGAAATCACAAATAGAGGAACAGGTCAATTCTGACCGTTGCCGATAGTAAATATATCGGATATATAGCGAAATATATACAATGTATATATACAAAGGAAGGGGATATTAGCTAGAATGCTTATATCTCAAGAATAGCCGGACCGATTTTTGTCAATTCAGAATGCCCTCTTGGCATAAAAGTATAAATTCTAAAAAAATTGCGTAAAAAAATGCCAATAATGATGATAATATAGGTTTTGTAGTATTTTGAGACATTTTTTGTATTTTTTATCGCATGCGATTTTTTCAATTTGACTTATAATATTGAAGTGTATATTTTTCAACTTACAACACAGGTTGGGGTTATTATATACAGATTGCAATAATCGTCCGATCCTCACGAAAATTTTCAAAAATTGTTACTAGACTCAGAAGGGCTGGCCTATTGCTTTCAAAGATGTCCGCAATATATTTAGGGGTTGAAATGGACCAACAACTAAACATATTTCTGATTTTGCAGCCATTATAAAGGTCACAAATAGAAACCATAAGATGCGAAATCTCGCATGAAGTTAGATTTAGGACAGAGGATAGAATGGACCACTACCTTTGTGTGAAAAAATACCAACATTATTTATAGGCGATATCCGAAATACATAAAAGGCGAACTTCCGGCTTTTTTATGCTGATTTCGTGGACGATTATAGCGAAATATCGTACACGAGAATATCATATAGATGAGTCTAGATTTGGAAATACAGAGGGGCCTCTTGTTTTTGGAGATGATTGCAAAATATTTAAGGGGTTCAAATGAACCAAAAACAGAAAAATGTTATTGATCACAGAATTGAAGCCAACCGACACGCCAGAGAAGAGAGTTAAGGACAGGAAAAAAGTCTAGCATTTTGGATGACCATTGGAATTTATTCAGCTGTAGATGGACCACAACAACTAACAGCATGATTTAATAAAAAACGAAATCTTCAAAAATGGATTTGGACAGTAGGGGGCTTCTATCATATTGTGGTGTTGTAGGGTATCTCATAATCGGCCCCGCACGACTATAGATCAATTTACACATAAAGCTCGTCATAAAATACACATACATATATTTTTTGATATGAATATATATCAAAACTTTGAAATTAATATGATTACATCTGAATTAGGCTCCAACAAATACACCTTCAATTAAAGGTTTGTATGCCTTATTTAGAATGGCATAATAAAACGGTCCATCGGCACTGAATCTGAAGAATGGATTATTGCGGGTGTAATGATCCGAAGCTAAAGAAAAAGAGGCATTAAAAACAATGGAAGGGATATTAATACGATTTCTTAACTTACTCAATATGGGAGAAGTTGGATCTCCTTCTTCACCAACTTCCAGATTTATTTGTTGAATTATATCGGTTACACGTATAGGTTCAGAGGATGTCAACATCTTGCCGAAATTAGCACCTTCAAAAATGTTTATCATACCCAGCTACAAAAAAATATAAAAATAAAAATTACAAGTAAAATAGCTGTAAATTCGGTCGGGCCGAATTTTAAATACCCTCCACCATTTGGAACGAATTTGGCACTTTTCAAAAAGAAAAAAAAATAATAAAAATTAAAAATTCTGTTAAAATCTTAAAAATACCAAATGTCTAAACGACGACGTAGACCTACATAGGCAACTTCTGTCATAAGCCATTACAATACACAAATGCGGAACTTGAAACAAACATCGATAAATAATGTAGTTAAAATCATGAAAATACCAAATATAGGGAGGTACTTTTATACAGGCGCTATACCAAAATGTGCACCTGCACAGACAATTTTCTGCCTTAGGCTGCAGTATCCATTACGAACTTCAAATATTAAATATGAAACAATTCCGATGAATAATGTCACCAAAATCATCAAAATACCAAATATCGGGAGGTTATATGGGGGAAATACGAAGACGTAGACTTGCAAAGATATTTTTTATACCCTCCACGCTAGTATGGAGGGTATATTAAGTTTGTCATTCCGTTTGTAATACCTGGAAATATACATTTTAGACCCCACCAAGCATAAAATTCTATGTCGATTTATCCATGTCCGTCGGTCTGTCCGTCTGTGGAAATCACTCTAGCTTTCGAATGAAATGAAGTAGGTTAATAAAATTTTACTCAAATGTGTATTATGTCTGAAAGCGGGCCATGTATTTGAAGTTCGTAATAAACACTACAGCATAAAACAGAAATTGGGCCATGTAGGTTCACTTCTTCGTATAGCCCCCATATAACGGTACCCCCGATATTCAGTATTCTGATAATTTTAGCGACATTATTTACCGGAATTGTTTCAAATTTGGTATTTGAAGTTCGGTACAGATACTACAGCTTAAAACAGAAAACGGGCCATGTAGGTCCACTTCTTCGTATAGCCCCAATATAGCGGTACCTCCCGATATTCGGTATTCTGGTGATTTTAGAGACATTATTTACAGGAATTGTTTCAAAATATAGTCTGTGCAAGTCCACGTTTTACAACTCCCGTGGTTCCTCCCTTTATTCGGAATTTTGATGATTTTAGTTATAAACAGATTTTTTTCAAGTTTCGCATTTGAATATTATAATAGCTTGTGACAAAAGTTGCCTATGCAGGTCCAAGTCATCGTACACACCTTAATATACGGCTACATTTGGTATTTTTAAGATTTTAACAGAATTTGTAACGGATTTTATTTTTTTGAAAATTTCCAAATTTGTACCAAATGGTGGAGGGTATTCAAAGCTCGGCCCGGCCGAACTTACTTGTTTTGTCTTAGGCTGTAGTATTCATTGCGAACTTCAAATGCCAAATTTGAAACAGTTCCTGTGAATAATTTCGCTAAATTCATCCAAATACCAAATATCGGGAGGTATCATTATATGGGGGCTATACGAAGACGTGAACCTGCACAGACAATCTCCTGTCATATACTGTAGTATCCATTACGAACTTCAAATACCAAATTTGAAATGATTCCGGTAAAAAATGGACCTGCATAGACGATTTTCTGTCTTAAGCTTTCGAATCTCAAATACAAAGTTTGAAACAATTCCGGTAAATAATGTCGCTGAAATCATCAACGTACCGAATATCGGGAGGTACCGTTATAAGGGTGCGGACGTCGCTAAATCGACATAGAATTTTATGCTGATCAAGAATATATATATACTTTGTGGGGTCTAAAATGCATATTTTGAGGTAATAAAAATGGAATGACAAATTTTTTATACCCTCCATTCTATAGTGGAGGGTATAATTACAAATATTTAAAAAAAAATTGATCCATACATTACACAAATAATTAATGCGTTGTAAATTATTATGCTTTTTAAAAAAACATATTTTTCCAGAATCCTTTTTAGATTAATAGAGGTTCATTCCTAAGGGTGATTCCTCAACCGAATTTATTTCTTATACAATAAATAACAACCAAATGCATTTTAGAAAATTAAATTTTCTTATAACAGTAGACTATGGTCTGAATTCGTCTCGCGATGGATTGTATTACATTGTCCTTGAATATATACTCACGTTTTTAAGGCTATCCTTTAAGTTGACTGTAACATCCATTTTAAATTTCGGCATACGAAATTCGATATTCTTCCTTTGAAAAACTTTAGTTTCAATAAACGTTGGCATATCCATCGATTTCATTGTTGTCAAAACTTTATCCAAGCCGTCAGCTCTAAATGGCACCACCACCAACATCGATAGACCCGCATCGCGATATGGCAACAGTATGGCACCAGCATTCATTGCCGCTTGTCTGCCATAGCGAAAATAAGAACGAACTTTCATCATTGGCACCATGACAAAATTATCATCTTCATCAACATAGAATTTATCTGGCTTCGTCCAATTCGCATTGAATCCAGTCTTCCAAGGACCATTGAAATTAACTGAGCTCACTAGAAGCAGATCTGTGTTGGGTTGTAGATTTTCTTCCAAATTGTTGATTGTATTTCCTGTCGTTGAGGCAACCCATTCGTTGATGGCCTCGGCTGTCTTTTCCGTTTGAGTGAAATCCATGTTCTCAGCTGATGAAAAGTATTTACCGGCGAGCAATGTTTTGAAATCCTCATTTATGGATTGACCATTTTTCACATAGATTTTGTTGGCAAATTTAAAATGTTCGGCTTTAACGTACTTCGCCAATTCGTTGTGATAATTATCCGGCAAAACGTTTAAAACAAATTTGCCTAAATTCAGGATATTATCTAACTCTTGGGCAGTTTTTCCTTCAGCTCCCATGCGTATCATGGCCAGGCATGTCTCAGCCGAAAAGGGTGACACGATGACATTTTTATCATAGCCTGATGGCACTAAATCTTTTAACAAGCTGCTTCCAATGTTTTCCGTTGCAGTTGTTATTGTATATAACAAAGCAACTACAAACGTAGTTGTAAAGGTTTTTACTGAAAATACAAAGGAATATATAGATGTTAATAAAAAAACAAGTAAGCAATGGCTACAGTCGAGCGGGGTCGACCGTTGAATACCCTACAACACTATAATAAACGATACAGTTTATATAGGCGAGAAACTCGAAAGAATTCCACAATATATTGTGACAAATAATAAAAGAAAACCATCAGGTTCCGTTCTCTAATTTTCGAATAATAGCAACTTTAACTAATTTGTTCATTTCCAATTTATTGGTAGATGTTGCACGTAAATGGTCTTCCTAGATCTGGAACCAATATTTCCCAAAGACCTATAATCTCTCAGAAGTGGCAAAAGATTAACATTTATTATTGGTTTTTGACTGAAACGCATCTATATGAGATACACGCATTTGACTGTATTCTTCAACGAAATCAGCGTTAACGAAATAGTCAGAAGTGCGTCTTTCCTGTATTTGTGAATTCTCCAAAAGTCACCGGAATGGACATTTTCGTTTTTTGTCTACAAAAGTTGGCAAACTATTTCACACATTGAATATTTTTGGGATGGCCATCCAAAACTGCTTGGCTTTTGCAATGTCCGGTAACCCCCATCTAAATGTGCGTGAGGATCGGGCGATAATTACGACCTGCTGACAAATTTTGCAGTTTTTTGGTCCATTTCAACCCCTAAATATATGGCGATCATCTCCAAAAAGAGTAGGCTTCTATTCTGACCCTCATCTTATCCCCATGCAAAATTTCGTAAAGATCGGGCCATAAATGCGATCTGTATATGATATCCTGATATCCTAACTACTTAGTTTTGTTAGCTGTAGAAATATTACCAAATGTTTAATTCAAAATGAAAATATGCCAAAAATATGACAAAATTGAAAAAATATGAGAAAATTTTACAAAACCAATATTTTCATCTTTAGAGAGATATTTTTATGGGATTTTTTTAGACGTTTTTTCTTTTCTGCCAAGAGGCCATTCTTGATAACATTTGGCGGAGTTATTCCTAAGCTGTATATGATATCTGGTACCAAATGTCGTTCTTGTGGAGTGCATATAGTGGGGAACTTAAACACCAAATCGGATGAAATATACACAGGTTGAGATAAAAAAAACTGCAACCAACTTCATACTGCTGTCATTTCTAAGCCACTCGTCCGACAGCTGTTAAAATTATTCCAGTGACCAGTATTATTTTTTTTTTATTTTATACTTATTTTGGTGAGAATTTTCCAGAAAAAAGTTATGCGTGATAAATTACACGATTTCTTCATATTTGGCTGGAAAACAACAAGTGGCTATTGTTGGAGCATTTCAGTATTTAAATCATTTTCAGTATTTATCGCTCGCTACCGAGATACTGGTAGCGTAGTCCGACGTCAAGGAAGTGGACGGAAGAAAACAGCAACATCAGCAGAAATGGTTCAAAAAGTAAAGAAGGGACTTGATCGAAACCCGCGTCGCAGTGGCCGAAAAATGGCTCGTGAGCTGAACATATCGCAATATTCCATTCGGCAAAAATTGAAAAATGAGCTCGGGATAAAGCCATTGAAATTCAAAAAAGTGCAGGAACTTACACCTCAACAGAAAGATAACAGACTCAAAAGAGCTTTAGAGTTACTTCGCTTGGCCGAACTGCCGAATTTGGTTTTCTCCGATGAGAAAACATTCGTTGTCCAGCAGTTTATAAACAAACAAAATCACCGTGATTACTTGCTAAAGAGGTCAGCTGAAAATGTGCACCTTCGGTTGGCCACCAGAACTCAAGCGCCGGCAGCTCGTATTAATCGACCGTGGCATCAGAATAAATGCCGAATATTATCGCGAAAATATTCTGGAGGGTGTGTAAAGCCAAACATTTTGGTCACAGACCCTGGACATTCCAACAGAATTCACCACAATCGCACTCAGCTCGCGAAACCCAGGAATGGTTACAAAATGATGTTCCTCGCTTCATTTCCAGCGCACAATGCCCACTAAAGTCTCCGCATACCAATCCGTTCGACTATTGTGTTTCGAGTATTTTGGAAAGCAAGGTTGACACTAAAAAATACCAAAGTGTCGATCACCTCAAGCAAGCGCTTCGCTGGAAATGGGCCAAAATACTGCAGAACAACATACGGCCAGCGTGTGATGGCTTTATTGGCCGTTTGAAGGCCATAATTCGTCCCATAGGTGACCAATTCGAACAAATCTAAACTTATTCTAAAATTTGATGCTATTTCCGACATATTTTGCTTTCATTCAAGAAAATTTAAAAAAAAATAAGGTACATTTGTAGTGTTTTTTGATACCCTCCACCATAGTATGGAGGGTATATTAAGTTTGTCATTCCGTTTGGAACACCGCGAAATATACATATTAGATCCCACAAAGTATATATATATTCTTAAAGGAAATGAAGTAAGTTGATAACAATTTACTCAAATGTGTTATGTCTGCAGGACTTTTGGTATTGAAAATGGACCCTGTAGGTCCACGTTTTGGTATAGCCCCATATAACAGTACACTCGAAATTTGGTATTTGGATGATTTTAACGATATTATATACCGGAATTATTTCAAACGTTGTATTTGATGTTCGTAATGGATACTACTAAGCCAGAAAATGGTCTGTGCAGGTCCACGTATTGTACCTCCCTATATTCGGTATTTTATTTATTTTAGCTGCATTATAAACAGATTTTATTTCAAATTAAGCATTTGAATATTATAATAGCTTATGGCAAAAGTTGCCTATGCAGGTTCACGTCGTGGTATAGACCTTAATATATGGCTACATTCGGTATTTTTAAGATTTTAGCAGAATTTTTAATGGATTTTTTTTTTTTTTTTTGAAAATTGCCAGATTTGTACCAAATGGTGGAGGGTATTCAAAGTTCGTCCCGACCAAACTCACAATTTTTTTAATTGTTTATGTTTGAATTCTAGCATTAATACAAATTCATTTAATTGACTCGATTTCTTGAGAACTGAAATTGCAGGCGGGTTACATTGAAGTGTAGTACCCAATTATGTGGTGGCGAAACGGAATAGATGATGTCGAAATAATTTAATGCGGTCACATTAAAGTTAAAGGATTATTATTTTTTCTAAATAGTTAAAAATCACCAAAAAAAGGTCTGACCGCCAAAATTTCTTAAATCGGGAAAAAATTGAGAAAAAATCGAAAAAAAATTAATTGAATCGAATTTCAAAATAATAGTACTTTCCTTTGACAAACTTCGTAAGGACCTTTAAACATTTGCTATAAGAAATCATTAAACAAGTTGATGAAGTTTTTTTTTCTTTTTTCAATTGGTTTTTCTTTTTTTTTTTGATCTTTTTAAATTTGGCTTTTAATGTTGAATTCAATACATTTTTTATGATTTTGATAAAATTATTCATACACGCTATGATTATAATTATAATTTAAAGTTCAAAGGACAAAATATGCCGAAGCATTTGTATCTTTTAAATTCGGACTTGTATTGCCCATTTGGTGCACAATTAATTTGAAATCGGATAAAGATATACATGGGAGCTATATCCAAATCTGAACCTATATCGATACAATTTGGCAAAGATATTTCTGAGCTGTATTTGATATATTTCTCCAAAAATAGTTGTTACGGAGTGCATATTACGGTTGTGGGTAACAAAAATAACATGTCAGATGAAGAATATATATGGGAGCTATAGCTATATCTGAATCGATCTTCAACAAATTTGGCATACTAGCTTCTAGACTCAATTCGGTCGTAAGTGCCAAATTCCATCCCATTTGGACAAATATTAGACGTTTGGTGCACAATATAAGGTAAATCGGACGAACTTATGTATGGGAGCTATATCCAAATCTAAACTGACCACGATAAAATTTATCAAATGTCTTTCGGAGCTGTATTTGATATATTTCCCCAAATATTATTGTTACAGAGTGCTTATTTCGGCTGCGGAGGACAAAAATAACAAATCGGATGAACAATATATATGGGAGCTATAGCTATATTTGAACCGATTTCGATCAAATTTGGCATACTTATTTTTAGGCCTAATTTGGTTCTATGTGCAAATAAAAGGCAAATCGAACGAAGATATATATGGGAGCTATACCTAAATTTTGACCGATTAACTCCAATTTCAATAGGGTTCGTCCTTGGGCCAAACAAATGATTTGTGCAAAATTTCATCTGGATAGGGTAATAAATGCGAACTGTACAAAACACACATGGACAGACGGACGGACGGACATGCATAAATCGACTCAGAATGTGATTCTATGCAGATTATCAAAAGGAACTATGGGTCTATCTCGTCTCCTTTTGCCTGTTACAAACAAATGCACAATGACGTACTTCCCTGACAACCTTGTGGTGTAGGGTATAAATATTCAACTGATATCGGAAATCAAAGTAGTAACGTATAACGACATCTTCGGATATTTCGTACTATGACGATTTTTACTACATCACCAAAGGAAATTGTTTAAAATTCCGTATTAGAACTTCGTATACTGTAAAAAGATTGTTAATAATCGTTTTTTTCGATTTCTTAACGAAATTGTCTGAATCATTAGATTTAATTTTTTTATTTGCACCTCAGCACATTGCTGAAATTTAGAAAAGTTATAGAATTTATCATTGAACATAGAGTTGGAATACGGACATTTTTCTCTCTTTTTTTAAATTTAAAATGTTTTCTTCATAAAATATTTAACATTTATAATATAAAAATAATTAATTGCACTCACCCGTTCCCATTTCGACAAATTCAGCAAAGAAATTGAACAATAAATGCCAAAGAAATAGTAAGGTATTCCAAAAAACAAATCATACAGCTGTATTTACTTAAGATCTGCACTCGATCGATCTGTTTGAAAAAAAAAAAATAACAAAGAAACACTTGCCATGAAAACAAAAGTATTTGTGCACCCTAATTAAATATTTGAATAAAATGTGAAATTTGAAATTATTTCGAGAGGTTGTTGTCATGTTTCAAACAGCTGTTTGTAGTGTCGATTAATTTATGGGAATTCCAAAAACACTAACTAGTATTTTGCATTACCTTTGGCACAAATTTTCAGTTTTGGCATGGGCGAAAAATTTCCAACGGATCGAACTTTTAATTCACTGGAAAATTTGAGTTCCGAGATTGACAGTAAAGTTCAGCTCAGTAATCATACAGGCTTTCAATAAAATCTAGAAGTTACTTATTGTCTACCGTCTTAGTGCAGTCGATTCGTTTAGATTCGGAATTAATGTTAGTCCCATACAATAGTATGTGTTGGGGGTATTATAAGTTTGATTGGGCCAAAAAGTTCGTAACCCCTCAAAATATTAGTCCAAGACATAAGATGTTGCATATGGTCTATCTAGCCGAACCAAGTTTATATATTTCTATTTGTGTGCGTACATCTCCCTGTTCATGCTTAATTTTAATCACCCAACAAACTGCAATTATGCTTCGATCCTTACGAAACTTTGCATGGAGGTGGGGTTAAGGTCAGAATGAAAGCATATTGGTTTTGGAGATGATCGCAAAATATAAAGGGAACTGAAATAGGCCAGAAACAGAATGATTTCTCGATTTTGTAGTTCCACTAGAGAAATTGAAATGGATCAAAAACAGAAAATTGTGCTGATTTTGCTGTTGCTCTACAGGCCACTAATACATATAGAGGTCATTGGACAATATTTAAGAGGTAAAATAGATAAACGTTTTTTTTTATCAAACCAGTAAGAAAAGGTCAAAAGTCGGTCGGGGCCGACCATATGATACCCTATACCACTATGCGTATTTAGTAGAGCTCCCGTAACAAAAAAAAATTATATTTAGAATTTAAGTGAAGTAGATTATACCAACTATGAACCAAATAAGATTGCTGTAAAATGCATAATATGACTTTTATAAGCCTATTTTTAAAAAAATATTTATTGGAGGAATAGATATATCGGACGGAGTTTCACCAAATGATGAAGATCGGTTGAATATAAAAAATCTGTTCAATTTGCGCTGATATTACACATATGAGGAGAGCAATAAAATAAAAATAAAATATGTTGACTGTAAACTTGGATGAAGATGTATATCGAAGCTATATAAAATTCTGAACCGATCTCGATAAAATTTGGTAGAGGTATTTTCGAGCAATATCTGATGCCCGGTATCAAATATCATTGTTGAGGAGTGCATATTACGCATGAGAGGGACTTTAACACCAAATCGGATGAAACATATATATGAGAGCTATAGCTATATCTGAACCGATTTTCACCGAAATCTGAACGCTGTCTCCCAGGCTGAATTCCGCCGGAAATGTGAAAACTCAGTCCATTTGACATTAGCAATTTGGTTCACAACTAACCTAAAATCGGTTGAAGATTTATCTAGGAGCTATTTCTTAATCTGAAACGATCTTGACAAAATTTGAAACACTTATTTCGGAGCTGTATCTGATATCTGGTACCAAATATCATTGTCGTGAAGTGCATATTACCCGTGTGAGGGACTGGAACGCCAAATCGAATAAAATATAGGTATAGGAGCTACAGCTATTGCTATATCTTAACCGATTTATACCAAATTTGAAGTACTGGTCTAAAGACCAGAGCTGATATTAGACATTAGGTGAAAAATAAACCTAATATCGGATAAAGACATGTAGGGGAGCTATACCGTAATCTGAACCGATCTCGATAAAATTTGGCATGCGTACTTTCGAGTGGTTTCTGATGTCTGATTCTTGTGGAGTGCATATTTCACATGTGAGGAACATAAAGCCCCAACTCGGATGAAACACATATATGAGAGCTATAGCTATATCTATATCCGATTTTCTAAATATTTGATGTACTTGCTTCTAGACTGAATTCGGGTTGAATGTATCAAAATGCATGTCATTTCGACTTATATTGGACATTTGGATAAAGTATTATATATGTGAGCTATATCAAAATTTTAACCAATTGCCACAAATTTCAATAAGGCTCGTCCTTGGGCCAAACAAATATTGTTTGAGAAATTTCATCTCAAATGCGATTTGCATTTTTTCACAAGAATACATGGATAGACGGACGGACGAACTGACATATGAAGATGCTCAAAAGTAACTATGGGTCTATCTTCCTAAATATAAAGACATAATACCATTACCTCTATATGGTGCAGAGTAAAAAACATGTCTGTGTATAGGAATCATTACCCAGTCAACATTTTTTGAAATTTTTAATCACATTCGAGTCTTTTTTGATCCGGTCGCGCGATTAAAAATGTGGAATATGCGCACATTTTCTGATCATAAAAGACACATTTGTCGGGAGAAAAACGTGACCTCCCGCATAATATAATAAATCACATATGAGTCTTCCTCTAGATTAGTTAAGAGTCTTTTTCGACCATTTTCTGATCGTTCTACGAGTCGTTTTCGAATCGTTTTTTAATCATTTATTGTGCTAAAACTTTTAATTTGTGAATCTTTTTCGAGTCTTTTTTAACTGATTTTTTGATCATTTATGAGTCCTTAGTGAGTCATTTATTAGTCTTTTAAGTGTCATATGTCACTCATATTTATATTCATTTATGAGTCTTTTTTAAGTCGCCTTTGTCTTAAATTCGAGTTATTTATGAGTCCTATATGAGTGTTTACGATCATACGAATCTCGCACGTGATTTCTAAATATTGGGATGTACCGTGAAAAAAAGAATTTGTTTATATTTGTTTATAAAATAGTTTATTTAAAATAAAAATAATGCAACTTTTATAATTATAATTTGTACTAGTTCATTTTCAGTTGTATTTTAGTAAATGCCACTGCTAAAAAATATAGTAAAAAATTAAATAAAAAAAGCAAAACCAAAAAAATAAAAAAATCAGGAACTTCAATCTAATTGTTTTCTTTTTGTAACCCGGTCTCGAGCGTGAACAAAATGTTTCTGAAGGATTGTCTTCATATCCTTGTCGTTACTTGTGTATTTTAGATGACAAATATCTGAAATTAAATATGTACAAGTCTGTCCATTTTACTAATTCTTTATATACGTGTTAAAAACACAAAATTACTAACACTTTTCTGCACTTGGCTTTACACTGGTGCCCTTCCAGCTGTATTGGCAGGCTAAATTGTTAGAAAAAATCTTTCGAACGGCAGCCCGAAGGAATTGAAGGGGTCCTTTACCGCCGGTTTTTGCAATAAATTCTTTCTGGAAATAGATTATCAAAAATTATATAAGTATTAATATATTGCAAAGTAGTGAATTTATGAATCAAAGACCCAATTTTGTATACTTACAAATTGTTTAAGTATCGTTTCATTTTGCTGCACCAATACATCGAAGGCTTGCAAATCCTTTACCTCGTTGAACGGAAATTTGTGAGTGTCATTAAGTTCGTCTATTACCATATCTAATCCATGTTGTTTGCGTGCCTCTAATTTGACGGTAACAACTTCTTCCGTTAATTTGACAAATTGACGCTTTGTAGTCTCCTTCATGTCCTTGATTTCCTTCTTCAAGTCTGTAACCTCATTTTTTAATGAGGCTATTTCAGCACGCATTTCCATTAATAAATTCAAAACGCTATTTTCAGGCTGGGTTGTGTACACATTTTGCACTGCAAATAACATTTTTGAGAAATGATAAGACATTAAAGTTGATCAATCGATCAGTGTTACTTACAAGGATATATAGTCTAGGGAACATTGGGATACAATATCTATGTTCAGTTTTTCTAATGGCGAAATTGGCAGCTTCAAATGATGTTCTGGTTGAAGGCGATTTCGAAAGGTTTCGCTAGTTCTTAATGCGTACTCTCTTTCCGTCGGAAAAATAAGACGGTGCTTGAGTATTTCTCCTTTCTGGGTGCAGCGAGTGTCCACTGTGTCCCTTAGTTCCCAAAACAAAAGACTTTGCTGGTGCATCCATAACAAAACAACGAACTTTAATATTATAGAACCTTTCAGCAAAAACCAACCCCTCATTCATCAAAACATTAAGTTCCTTGACAAATTCGCTCAAAAAATCATTCGGACAGTAAGGCTTTGAAGTTCCCTCAAATATGCCTACAATGAAAACATAACTAGATCCAACAACACTTCCTAATATCGGCCAAACTTGTTTTGAACTATTTTTGAATAACGGTAGACCGTTGATGCCAAAATCAAGAACTATATCTTTCAAATTCCATTTATTTCTTTCAAAGAAATCGGTTAAAGCGTCTTTTAATCCGTAGTGAATGTACTTCCCTGTCCCAACCTTTCTTTCAATAACAGAACAAGGTGTTTTTAAAAGTGTCCTGGCATCTTTTGGAACTTTCTTGTTAAATTTTAGTAATAGTGACAAAAGTGCATTGATTACAACAAAGCTAACTTGAAACTGAATAGCCCATTTAGCAAGTTCGTCGCATAAACTAAAGTCATCAGAATCACTTTCATCACTTGACTCGTACAAACCCTCATTTTCAGCTCCTTCTTCAGTAAAATTTTGAATTGGCTCGACGATTTCTTCAAGTTCCGGGACATTTCCTTCATTATTCACATCTTCAGTATTACATCTTTTTTTCCAAAATTAAATTTTCAGCATCCTTTTTTGCCATACTTTTTATTTTAGCCTTTTCTATTTTTTTTTAAATTGGCTTGCTGACATTTTTTCTTTATAAAAACAATAAATAAATAAACAAACAATTAGATAAACGTACACTTTTTAATATTTTTTTATCACTTTTTAATATTTAACACTTTTGCTGTTGACGCTTCCTCGCACTTTTTATAAATGACCAATAAGTCAACTTTTTTATAGCCACTCCAGAAACGCAACAAAATGACCCGTTATGCATAGAAAAACAAGCAGCATTTAAGCACTTGTCTGTGCGAAATATGATAAAAAATAAATCAATACGATCACTTTTCAAACAGATGCATGATCTTTTTAAGACTAATCATTTTTCAATCTGCACATGATCGCAATATGATATGAATAAATAACGGAAAACAGTCACATTTTGCGCATCCCAATGATTGATTTTTGATTACCATACATTTTTTTTTTATAAAATTAAATGAACTCTTTTTACTCATTAAGGGGGGTCACTTTCGAGTCGTTTTGTGATCGTACAGGTGAGTTAATCATTTTTTGATCACCAAAAGGACTCGAAACAACTGCATGATCTTTTTAAGACCAATCATTTTTCAATCTGTACATGATCGCAATATGTACAATAAATAACGGAAAAAATAGTCACATTTTGCACATCTCAATGATTGATTTGCGATTCCCCTACATTTTGTTGTTGTATTTTGGTTGACCTCTTTTTACTCATTAAAGAGAGTCATTTTCGAGTCGCTTTTCGATCGTATACGTGAGTTAATCATTTTTTGATCACCACAAGGACTCGAATTTTTAGTTATTTTTATTGACAAACCAATGCATCACTATTTGGGAAATCAGGAATATTTTTTTTTGTTTTATTTTTAATGATAAAAATTTTTCAAAAAAATTAAAATTAAGCTTAAGGATAAGCTGAATTTAATTTAATAAATACACTTTTCTCACAAATATTCTAATAAACAATAATGACCACGATCTTTTTTTAAAAATTAACAACTGTGCCTTGGAAAATGGGTATAAAATCTTCATTAATTATGGCATAGTAGAATGGATGGTTGACAGTGAAGAAAATGGGCAGTGAACGGGAGTTTGCAACAATACCTGAAATAAAAACGAAACATTTAAATTAGAAAGATGTCCATAAAATTATGTTTTTAAGATTTTGTTTGTTATGGAATCAATATTTCTGTTTTAAAAAAAATAAATTCACATTTCAATAAATTAAATAGATAGTTTTCATTTTATATAGATATGGATAAATTTAGACTAAATTGTAGCGTTTTAAAATGAAATAGCAAATTTTTGTAGTAAATTTCAAATTTGAACAAACTTACTTGTTGCTCCAGAGGCTTCAGTGCCATACTCGGTAACCGAAATAAAAGCCTTGTGAACAGCACTTGAGATGTACAGAGGCTCGGGAGATTTTTTCATTTTGGTGAAATCGGCACGGCCAAACATTTGTTTCATGCCCATCTATAGACAGAAATAATGTTTAAATATTTTCTCTTTGTTTTTTCCTAAAACTTACTTTCATCAGTGGCTCCGATAAATTAATTTCAAATTCCGCCTCAAATTTGGGCATCAACACCTCAACATGATCCTTAGACAAACGTGGCTTCAGGGACTTCAGCGAAACAGTTCGCAGTTTTTCTTCCAAAGAACTCAAACCCGTTTTCGAGTTGGGCAATACAATTAGCATCGAAATATCGCTATCTTTATAGGGCAGGCGGACAACGCTACAATCCAAATCTTGTAAATCGGCATATTCGAAATAATCTTCGGTCACCATCATGGGAACTTTAACACTTTCGCTGTCATTAATGAAAAAATCTTGATCGCTTGTGTATTCCACATCGAATTTCGTTTTCCACTCGCCCTTAAAGTGTATGGCACTCACCAACACCAGGAAGGTATCAATGCCCAATGTTGCGGGCGAGACCATGTTGTGGATTTTATTGTCGGTTTTCGATTCCACCCATTTGTTAATGCTATCAGCAGCTTCATTGGCACGCTCAAAGTCCACATATTCCGGTTTAGAGAAGAATTTCTCCTCAAGTGTTTTTTGGAAAACATCCTCGAGTACGGTGTGTTGCTTAACATAGATCTTATTGGCAATCTTCAACATTTTACCATCTTCGTATTTTGCCAAGAGATTGTGATAGTTTTCCGCCACACTTTCCGGTGTTTGTCCGTTGAATTTTAACCCCTGATCCATTTCAGTGGCTGTCTCGCCACCCGCCCCCATTCGTGTCATGGCCAAGCAGCTGTGTATGGAAAATGGTGAATAGATGATGTTCTTTTGACTATTTGTCTTGAACAATTCGCCAAAGAGCTGTTGACTAAAGCTGCCCAGGCTAGTCTTGAATTCCACATTGCCTGCGCTTGTGACGGAATCGGCGGCGACAAGAAGTGTGGCAAAGGTGCACAGGATTTTGAAGAATTTCTCTGAAAATAAATAAATTATATAGTTTTTCTAGATTTAAAAGAATGATTTTACTTTGATGGGAAACAGATAAATACCGGTGCGGCATCATAGTCACCACGGACACAATCCCTATTACAATTATGGGGATTGTGACATATTTTTCGGTCATACCCTCCAAGAAAAAAGTCGATTATAATCCCATTATAATCATATTTGGTATGTCCAAAACGAATGGGAACATAAACGGGTGGGCGAAAAAAATGAGTACTGAAATTGGGCAATGTAGGTCAACGTTTTGGTATAGCCCCCATACAATGGTACCTTCCATTTTTTTGGTATTTTGATAATTTTAACGTCACTATTCACCGGAATTGTTTAAAATTTGGTATTTGAAGTTCGTAATGGATGCTGGATATAATGGTACCTCCCTATATTCAACATTTTTATGATTTTAGCTACATTATTCACTGATTTTCTCATGTTTCGCATTTGAATATTGTAATGGCTACATTCGATATTTTTAAGATTTTAAAAGAATTTTTAACGGATTTTATTTTATTTTAGTTATTATTATTATTATTATTATTATTATTATTATTATTATTATTATTATTATTATTATTATTATTATTATTATTATTTTTATTATTATTATTATTATTATTATTATTATTATTATTATTATTATTATTATTATTATTATTATTATTATTATTATTATTATTATTATTTTTATTATTTTATTATTTTTATTATTTTTATTATTATTATTATTATTATTATTATTATTATTATTATTATTATTATTATTATTATTATTATTATTATTATTATTATTATTATTATTATTATTATTATTATTATTATTATTATTATTATTATTATTATTATTATTATTATTATTATTATTATTATTATTATTATTATTATTATTATTATTATTATTATTATTATTATTATTATTATTATTATTATTATTATTATTATTATTATTATTATTATTTTTACTATTATTATTATTATTTTTTTTTTTTTTTTTGCAAAATTGCCAAATTCTTTTCCAAAGGTTTTCAAGTTCGGCCCGCCTTTAAACTTTTTACTTGTGCTCTATTTCTTTACTTAGTACAAAATATGGTACAATTTAGTACCTCTACCACAATTAGATTATATATTTCCAACCTCTATATCTCGATTCCAGACACCAACATAGACCTCAATATCAAACTTAAGGATTCCAGTCCTAACCCTCCACCGAACACCAAATTTAGTTACATTTAGTACTTTTCGAGCAATTATAAAAGACATTTCGAAAACCACCTTCATATTTCGAGGAGTAACATCTACATCAAATTTAAGGATTCCAGTGACTCTCATTCCAAATTTCAGAATTCTAACTCATTTCATGTTATAATTTTTTAGTACGTTGTAGTACTTTTCGTGTCCTTTCAGTACGAATTTCACAATATCCAAACTTATCATAGCCGTTTCGTCTGGGCTTTGATGTTAGGTCAGTCAGTCATTTAGTTATTTCTTTACTCTTTTATATACAGATGGGAAATTAAAACCAGTAAAGAAAGTCTTAAAGTCGGGCGGGGCCGACTTTATGATACCCTACACCACTTTGCTAATTTAGTAGAGCTCCGCATAGCAATTAAAAGTTCATACACGCTATGATTATAATTTAAAGTTCAAAGAACTGAATATGCCGATGCATTTGTATTATTTAAATTCGGACTTTTATTACCCATTTGGTGCACAATTAACTTGAAATCGGATAAAGATGTATATGGGAGCTGTATCCAAATCGGAACCGATCTCGATAAAATTTGGTAAAGATATTTCTGAGCTGTATTTGATATATTTCCCAGAAAATCGTCGTAACGGAGTGTATATTACAGCTGTGAGTAACAAATATAACAAATCGGATGAAGAGTATATATGGGAGCTATAGCTATATCTGAACCGATCTTCACCAAATTTGACATACTAGCTTCTAGACTCAATTCGGTCGTATGTGCCGAATTCCATCAAATTTGGACAAATATTAGACGTTTGGTGCACAAAAAAAGGTAAATCGGACGAAGTTATATGTGGGAGCTATATCCAAATCTGAACCGATCTCGATAAAATTTAGCAAGTATATTTCTGAGTTATATTTGATATATTTCCCAAAATATTGTTGTTACAGAGTGCATATTACGGCTGCGGAGGACAAAAAGAACAAATCGGATGAACAATATATATGGGAGCTATGGCTATATCTGAACCGATTTCCATCAAATTTGGCATACTAATTTTCAGGTCTAATCTAATGTATGTGCAAAATTTCATACCATTCGGCCTGATATTACACGTTTGGGGCACAATAAAATAAATCGGACGAAGATATTTATGGGAGCTATATCTAAATTTTTACCGAATATCTCCAATTTCTATAGGGTTCGTCCTTGGGCCAAACAAATGATTTGTGCAAAATTTCATCTGGATAGGACAATAAATGCGAACTGTACTTTGTTTACAAAAATACATGGACAGACGGACGGATGGACATGTATAAATCGACTCAGATTGTGAGGGTTTGTCCCCTGATCCCATTTTGTTAAATAAAGAAATAAATAAAAACTTTTTAAACATTTTTCATTTAAGCTCCCAAAAACGGACACCTTCTTACAATGGAGACATTTCGATCCTGCGTCGCTGTCCATTGTTGGGAGGTTTCACTGTATATGTTTGCGTTGGAACATTTTTTTCTAAAATTTCATTAACACATCTTACACAGAGCGACGGCCATGACCTTTCACATCGAACGCGAAAAGAAGATTATTTACCATTTAGTCCCATTCTGCTCGCGGATAGTGCGATATTTCTAGTAACGTTGTTTAAATAGCAAATGTTGTCTTGGCACTGATTCAATTATCAATCGGAAACTACAAATCATGTGTCATATTTGCAATTTTCGCTGATTTATCAATTTGTTGTTGTTATTGCTGTTTTGCAAAATGCAAAAAAAAAAAAAACAAAACCGCAAAACGTGTACAGTGGATTAAAAAATATTTGCGATTGAGAGGTTATCTGTAATCTTTCGACGAAGAAGTTGTTGTATTTGTGTTATTTTTATGTGGACAAAATGTTGGATGCATAGGTTCCATTGGAAAGAATTAATTATGATACTACATATTTGTCCCATTACCAAATTAAAAATGGACCTGCCATATTTTTCCCTCAATTTTGTTTTCAAAAAATGGTTCCTGTTTATTACATTTTACTCTGTTCAAGAATATCATTTATTTTTTATTTATATGGAAACCCCCATACAGCAATTATATGCGTGCTCGCCCCTGCGACCCACTGTAAAATACGGATCAACTTGGTGCATCTCAACCTTGTTTTATTTACCACGATTTATTTCTATTCATACATTTATACACGTCGCAGTATTTACGTCGACATTCCGGCAAAAGTTCCCTCGAATAGGGGCTCAAAGTTGGAATTAACTACAGCATAGTAAAATGGGCGATCAGCTTCGAATATTTCGAACTGAGGATGCAGGCTCTTGGCAACTGAGGGGAGAAAAATAAAATTAACAAAAAAAAAAAAAAATAAATAATTTCGAAATGTTTTCAAATTTTACTTACAGTTGTAGGGTACAGCAGTCGCAACCGATTCTTTGACTTCAATTGAAGTCTTGTGAATGACGTTAGCAAAGTGTATGGCTTGATTTTGTTGAATCATTTCATCGAAACGAGCGGTGGTAAAGAATTTTGTCATTCCCATCTGAAAGACAAACAAAAAAGAAAAACAAGAAAGAAATATTAACTTCGGACAGAACTTTTAATACCCTCCACCATTAGGTAAACACACATTAAAAACCCGCAGGGAAAGGTCAAAAATTGAGCTGGACCGAATATATAATACCCTACACCACTATGCGTATTTATTAGAGATCTCATAACAAACAGGTTTATATTGGGAACATATTTCGTGGATAAATGTGACAAGGAATATCGATTATCGGCGGTTATATATTCGCTATAGAATAATGTGGACCTAAATATTCAATGTTTTGCCACGGGAACTAGAACCCATTATGAACTAAAATACCAATTTTTGGACAAATCCGTGAAAAAAAGTGGCAAACATCATCAAAATGCTGAATATCGGGAGCTACCGTTATATAGGGGCTATACCAAAACGTGTTTCTATACATACAATATTTCGCCACCGGAGCTAAAACCCATTATGACCTACAAAAACCTATTTTAAGACAAATTCTTAAAAAAAATTTGGAAAAAATCATCAAAATAACGAATATCGGGTGGTACCGTTATGGCGGCTATAACAAGACGAGTACCGATATATCTCATTTTCAATACCAACTATCCTACACGCAATACAAATTGTTCTGCCAAATTAGAATTTTATGGTGATTGAGAATATATATACTTTATGGGATCTACGATGAATATTTGGGGGGTGTTACAAATGGATTGAGAATGTTAATATACCCTCCTTTCCAAGGTAGAGGGTATACAAAAACAAGTCAAAAAGTAGTAAGTTCGGCCGGGCCGAACTTTGAATACCCTCCACCCTTCGGAACGAATTTGGAAATTTTCAGAAAATAAAATCATTAAAACATTCTGTTAAAATTTTAAAAATACCAAATATAGGCATTATATTGAGGTGTATACGATGTAGGCCTACATAGGCATTGTTTGTCATAGGCTATTACCATATTCAAATTCGTAACTTGAAATAAACGGTGAATAATGTTGCTAAAATTATCAAAATGTCGTATATAGGGAGGTACCGTTATATCGGAGCTATACGAAGACGTGGACCTGCATAGACAATTTTCTGTCACAGGCTGTAGCATCCATTACGAACTTCAAATACCACACCTCAAACAATTTCGGTGGGTATTGTACCTTAAATCGTCAAAATACCGAATATAGGGATGTACTGATATGTGGGCCCTATACGAAGACCTGAACCAGCATAGACAATTTTCTGTCTTAGGGTGTAGTATTCAATTCGAACTTCAAATACCAAATTTGAAACAATTCCGGTGAATAATGTCGCAAAAATCATCAAAATACCGAATATAGGGGGTACCGTTTTATAGGGGTTATACGAAGACGTGGACCTGCATAGACAATTTTCTGTCTTAGGGTGAAATATCCAATTCGAACTTCAAATACCAAATTTAAAACTATTCCGGTGAATAATGTCGCTAAATTCATTAAAATACCGAATATCGGGAGGTACCGTTATATGGAGGCTATATGAAGACGTGGACTTGTACAGACAATTTTCTGTCTTAGGGTGTAGTATCCATTTCGAACTTTAAATACCAAATTTGAAACTATTCCGGTGAATAATGTCGCTAAATTCATTAAAATACCGAATATCGGCAGGTACCGTTATATGGGGGCTATATGAAAACGTGGACCTACATGGCCCATTTACGAACTTAACCTGCCTACTGGACGGAATGACAAAGTTAATATACCCTCCATAGAATGGTGGAGGGTATAAAAATTATTGGAGCAATAGATATGCCGGACCGATTTTCATCAAATGGTAAAATTCGGTTGAATATGAAATTATTCAATTTGGGATGACATAATATATATGGTGGCCAATAACCGTAAGATCGGATGAAGATGTGTATCGACACTATGTAAAAATCTGAACCGATCTCGGTAAAATTTGGCTGAGGTATTTTCGAGCAGTATCTGATGCCCGGTATCAAATATCATTGTTGTAAAGTAAATATTACGCCAAATCGGATAGAACATATACATGGGAGCTATAGCTATATCTGAACCGATTTTCACCAAATTTTAAGTACTTGTTTCTAGGATGAATTCAGCCCAAATGGACTGAATTGCTACAATTTTTTGGTTTAAATATTAGCCATTTGGTGCACAATAAACCAGAGATCCCATAAAGATATATATGGGATCTATATCCCAATTTGATCCGATCTCTATAAAATTTGACAGAGGTATTTTTGAGATTCATAAGTTATCTGGTTCCAAATAGCATTCTTGTTGAGTTTATACTAGACATGTGAGGGACTTTAACCCCCAAATCGGTTTAAACACATATATGGGAGCTACAGCAACTCGAACCGATTTTCTCAAAATTGGATGTACTTACATCTAGACTGAATCGGTTGGGCCATAATTCATGTAATTTGGGCCGATATTGGCCATATGGTGCACAAATAACCTTATATCCGATAAAAAATATATGTGGGAGATATACCTAAATTTAAACCGATTCTCAACAATTTCAATAGGGTTCCTCCTTGGATAAAATATATATTGTTTGGAAATTTTCATCCCTATCAAATAATAAATGCGACATGCATTTTGTTCACAAAAATATTTGGACAGAAGGACGGACGGATTGATATGTATAAATCGACTCAGGAAGTGATTTTATGGAGATCCCCAAAATTACGTACGGGTCTATCTCGCTACCTTCTTAATGTTACAAACAAATACACAAAGACATAAAACCCTGGCCGCAGTGTGGTGTAGGGTATAAAAATATCTGGATTTAAATGTGTTCTACTGTAATCTGCAAATATCAGATTAAAGTTATATGGGGTCACACCAAAGCGGGAACAATTTTCTACTGCAAGAATTGTTGTCTACTGCCAGTCCTACCAAATTCATAAAAATCTGAATATCAGTGGTTACCGATTTGTCCAAAATATATGGAAATTTTGGACAAATATGGCCAATATTTTGACACCAGTTATGAGCTACAAATACCGATTTTGAAACAAATCAGATAGAAATATAGTCTAAATCGTAAAAATTTTGAATACTTAACTGCAGCCAAATTCAGACTGCGGTCATTTCTAAGCCACTCGTCCGACAGCTGTTAAAATTATTCCAGTGACAGCTCATTATATTTTTACAAGCGTACAAAAGAAGTTGAAGGAAGAAAACAGCAACATCAGCAGAAATGGTTCGAAACGTGAAGAGGTGACTTGATCAAAACGCGTCGCAGTGACCGAAAAATGAATCGTGACGGATATCGCAATATTCCATTCGGGAAATATTGAAAAATGAGCCATTGAAATTCCAAAAAGTGAAAGAAAATAGGCCCAAAGGAGCTAAAAAGTTGATTCGTTTTGCCGAAAGTGGTGAACTGCCGAATTTGGGTTTCTCCGTCTCCGATGAGGAAACATTCGTTGTCCAGCAGCTAAATGATTCCAAAAAGGTCAGCTGAAAATTTGCACCATCGGTTGGACACCAGAACTCAAGCGCCGGCCACGGTGATGGTGTCGGCCGCCATAACAGCCGATGGTAGCTCTACGCTCGTATTAATCGACCGTGGCATCAAAATAAATGGCGAATATTATTGCGAAAATATTCTGGAGGGAGTATTAAAGCTTTGGGCACGCAAACATTTTGGCCGCAGACCTTAGACATTCCAAAGGGACTTAGCACCATCGCACTCTGCACGCGCCACCCAAGAATGGTTACAAAAAATCAAAATCTCCGGATACCAATCCGTTGGACTATTGTGTCTGGAGTATTTTAGAAAGCCAGGTTGGCACTACAAATATCAAAGTGTGGATCACCTCAAGCAAGCGCTTCGCCGGGAATGGGCCAAAACACCGCAGAGCAACATTCAGGCAGCGTGTGACGATTTCATCGGCCGTTTGAAGGCCATAATTCATGGTAAAGGTGACCAATTCGAACAAATTTAAACTTATTCAAAAATTTGATACTATTTCCGACATTTTTTGCTTTCATTCAATGAAATTTAAAAAAAAAATGTAAAAATGATGGCGCTTGACTTTGTTGCAGTTTTTTTATCTCCAAATAAAGCCTTCCAAAAAACTTATTCTTTGACTTCTATTTCCATCACTTACCTTATTAAGGAAATATTTCAAATCCACTTGGAATTCCGTTTTAAATTTCGGCATAATCACATATCCCTCGGTCTCCGAGAACTTTCTCTTCAGTGATCTTAAATCAAAATCAATTTCGTGGAAAATTCTCATAAATCTTTTCAGGGCCACATTGTCTGCTGGCTTTATAACAATCAACGATAAATCCGAATCCTTGTAAGGTATCCTTATGGCTGTGGACAATAGATCTTTAGTGAGCAGGGCATAATCGAATTTTCCCTTGTATTTCATCATTGGAATATCAACACTGCTGGTTGGACTGACACGGAATGGTTTTTCCTGCATACCCTCAGCGGGTATGGGTAATGCAAAATCTCCATTATATGCTGCAGCGCTTAACAGTAAAGCTTCGGGATTATAACCCAAATTGCTACGTTCTACCATATTTCGGATTGTGAAATCTGTATCCTTTTCAATAGCTCTATTCATAGCATTTACTGCCTGATTTGGCTGTGCGAAATCCACCAAAAGAGGGGTTGAATAAAACTTATCCGATAGCAGTTGTAAAAAGCTCTCCTTTAGGCGAAATTTGTGATTGAGACAAATTACGTTGGCCATTTTGAAATTTGTATTTGATTTGTATTTGCTCAGCATCGTTTTGTATTTATCGGGTATATCTGCTTCGCCATTGTCATATTGTCGCAAAGCTTGTTCTATTTCATCAGCCGTTTCACCATTGGTACCCATTAGAGCCATTGTGAGAGCCGTTCGAAGAGCAAAAGGCGAGACAAGCGTGTTTTGATTGTCACTCTCTGTAAACACATCGTAAAGCAGTTGTCTATTGAAACTGCCTTGGCGGTAGTTTATTTCCGATTTTGCCAATGATGATGCAGGGAATGAGAGTAATCCCAGAATAGCTATGAGCTTTAGTATGTTAACTGGAAAATATTGGAATAAGGGTAGGAATTATTGAATACAAAAAGTATACGTTTGTAACTACATTTTTATATAAGAATTAGTAAAAAGAGGGGAGAAGTTGATTCGATCGAACTTTCGATACCCTTCACTATGAACCAACAGCAAGTTTAAAAATGTTGCTGGTACCTCCCACACAAAATGTCAACATTTTCAAAGAAAATAATTCACTGCCCAGAAAGTGAAAGGATAATCCTATGTTGCTCCAACTTTGCGAATCCTTACATTTGCATCTGTGCTCAGGTGCGAAAATGGAGAATATCGATCAAGTACCTTCCTCACTAAGGGTTAGAATTTTGAATACTTGTAAGTCTTATAAAATGTGATGTAATAGTCCGATTTTCTTCAAATTACACACAGCTTAATATTTTTATTAACCCAAGGCCTAGTGTGAAGATGGAATATATAGGCTCATTCCTTATGGTACCTCCCCCACAAAATTTCAACATTTTGAATATCCAAGCTCATAAAACGCGAAATTAATACTTCAATGCATTCAGACCTACAATATCTCAATATTTCCATCAACACAAAATCTGTTATAAAATTGGGAGGGATAGGATAATTTCTTTTGGTATCTCTCCTACAGAGGGTCAATGTTTTAAATATCAAAACGATAACAAGTAAAACAAGTAAGCAAAGGCTACAGTCGAGCGGGGCCGACCGTTGAATACCCTACAACACTATAATAAACGATACAGTTTATATAGGCGAGATACTCGAAAGAATTCCACAAGATATTGTGACAAATAATAAAAGAAAACCATCAGGTTTCGTTCTCTAATTTTCGAATAATAGCAACTTTAACTAATTTGCTCATTTCCAATTTATTGGTAGATGTTGCACTTAAATGGTCTTCCTAGATCTGGAACCAATATTTCCCAAAGACCTATAATCTCTCAGAAGTGGCAAAATATTAACATTTATTATTGGTTTTTGACTGAAACGCATCTATATGAGATACAGTCATTTGACTATATTCTTCAAAGAAATTAGCGTTAACGAAATAGTCAGAAGTGCGTCTTTCCTGTATTTGTGAATTCTCCAAAAAGTCACTGGAATGGACATTTTCGTATTTTGTCTACAAAAGTTGGCAATCCAAAACTGCTTGGCTTTTGCAATGTCCGGTAATACCCATTCAAATGTGCGTGAGGATCGGCGATAATTACGACCTTCTGACAATTTTGCAGTTTTTTTGGTCCATTTCAACCCCTAAATATATGGCGATCATCTCCAAAAATAATAGGCTTCTATTCTGACCCTCATCTTATCCCCATGCAAAATTTCGTAAGGATCGGGCCATAAATGCGATCTGTATATGATATCCTAATATCCTAACTACTTAGTTTTGTTAGCTTTAGAAATATTACCAAATGTTTAATTCAAAATAAAAATATGCCAAAAATATGACAAAATGGAAAAAATATGAGAAAATTTTACAAAATCAATATTTTCATCTTTTTGTATGCGTTTTTTAGACGTTTTTCCTTTCCTGCCAAGAGGCCATTCTGAATTAATGAGAACTGTCGAAATCAGTTCAGCCGTTCTCGACATATATGAGATCTTTCAAGCATATCTTCTTTGATAGACATATATATCGCATATATTTGCTATATATTCGATTTTTTGGATCTTAACATCAATGTAAAGATCAGAAGTAACCTTGTCATGGCTTTGTGAGTTCCCCGGGATATAAAATATTTGCGGTTTAATGAAAATTTTTAAAATTTTTTCAACAAAAAAGATATGGTATATTTTACCCGCTAAATATTATCCGATGACCACCCAAATTGGTAGACTTCTTCCCCGCCCTAAACTCTAGCTACATGCGAAATTCCGATTCCGTCGATTGGTCTATAATTGCGACCTGTATAGCTACTGCAAAATCCCACATTTTTTCAGTATTTGGTCCATTTCAACCCCTAAACATTTGGCGATCATCTCCAAAAGAAATAGGGTTCTATTCTGACCCTAGCCCCACCCCCATTCTAAATTTAGTGAAGATCGGGCCATAATTGCGACCTGTAGAGTGATTACAAATTAACATGGACAGACGGACAGACGGACGGACGGACATACATAGCTAGATCGACTCAGCTCGACGAGCTAGGAAGATCCATATATACTTTCCTATGTGGGAAATCAATATTTCGTGGTGTTACATAATTATTGGCCCAATCAAACTTATAATACCCCCAACACATAGTGTTGTAGGGTATAAAAACAGTAAGTTCGGTCGAACTTTGAATACTCCCCACTATTTGGAACGAATTAGAAAATTTTCAAAAAAATAAATCCCATTGAAAATTCTGTTAAATTCTTTAAAATACCTCATATCAGAAGGTGCCGATATATGGGAGGATATACGATATTGCGGACCTATATAGACAAATACCTTTCAGGGGTTAAAGTGTTCACAAAGAACCCCTTATGTGGAATTTCAGACAATTCAACTGGAAAATGTTGCTGAAATCATCAAAATACCGTATATCAGAAGGTACCGTTATATGGGGTATATCCGATATCGTAGACCTATATAGACAATTCTCTTTCAGGAGGTGAAATACTTATAATGGACTCGTTGTGTGGAATTTCAGGCAATTCAATTGAAAAATGTGGCTAAAATCATCAAAATACCGAATATCGGGGGTACCCTTGTATGGGGCTATTCGATATCGTGAACCTATATAGATAATTCTTTTTCAAGGGATAAAGTACTCACAAGGAACCCCTTGTGTGAATTTTCAGACCATTCCATTAGAAAATGTGGCTAAAATCATCAAAATACCGAATATCGGGGGGTATCGTTATATGGGGGCTATACGATATCGTTAACCTATATAGATAATTCTTCTCCGAGGTATAAAGTATCCACAAGGAACTCTTTGTGTGGATTTTCAGACAATTCCGTTGAAAAATGTGGGTAAAATCATCAAAATACCTAATATTGGTGGTACCGTACGCTGATCAAGAATATATATAAAAATTATTATTTCGATGAGTTACAAACGGAATGACGAACTATATATACCCTCCATACTATGTATGGTGGAGGGTATAATAAAATCCGAAATGAGCATTCGGTTGTCTTCATATTTCACACTACCCATTATATCTACTGACACAAGAGCTGCTGTGAAGAAAGGATATACCGGTGCACTCCTTCTGGTACCTCCCACAAAAAAAGTCTAAATTTTTACAAAAATATATTCTTTGAACGGAAAGAGGAACGATAATCCGATTTTGCTCCAACTAAGCAAATCTAAATATTTACGTCAGCGCTAGGTCAGGTGCGAAAATGGACAAAATGGACAATATGAAGTTCCTCCCGCACAAAGGGTCAACATTTTGAATAATTACAACTCTTATAAAGTGTGATGTAAGGGTCCGATTGTCTTCAAATTTCACACATCCCAATAGTTTTATTAACCCAAGGTCTGGTGTTAAGTTGGAATATATCGGTCCACTCCTTCTGGTTTCTTTCGCACAAAGTTGAATATTTATTAAGCTCATAAAATGGGAAATAAACATCCGATTCCATTTAGACTTGACACATCTGAATATTTCTATCAACACAGGATCTGTTGTAAATGCGATAGAAATCAAACCATTCCTTCTGGTTCCTCCCCCACAAAGGGTCAAAGTTTTGAATAACCAAAACGTTTAAAAAATTCGAAATAAGCATCAGGTTCTCTTTGTATTTCAGACATTCAATTGTTTCTATTCTAAAAACAAGTGAGCAAAGGCTATAGTCGTGCGGGGCCGACCATGCGATAGCCTCCAACACTACAATATGTTAGACGCCCCCATATGTGCAAATCCATTTTGGAAAATTTGGTTTTGAAATAATGTCATGGAGCACTGCCCTGATATTACACTTAGCTTTTTCATCAGGGATATATGCTCAATATTTACGCACCCCGTCGTGCAGTTGGCTATTGTGGTCCATTTTACAGCTAAATATAATCCAATGGTCATAAAAAATGCTAAAACTCTTCCCTGTCCTTAACTCTCTTCTCAGGCGTGTCGATTGTCTTCAATTGTGTGATTAGGAAATTTTTCCTGTTTTTGGGCCATTTGAACGCCTCAATATTAGGCAATCATCTCCAAAAGCAAGATACCCCTCTGCATCTCTAAATTTAGACTCATCTTTATGATTTGCTTGTCCACGATATTTGGCTATATTCGTCAACGAAATAGGCATAAAAAGCCAGATGTTCGCCTATTATGTGTTTCGGATATCGAATGCAAGTAATATTCGTATTTTTTCACACTGCAATATCAGGAACATTTTTAGTTGTTGGTCCATTTCAACCCCTAAATATATTGCGGACATCTTTGACACCAATAGGCCTAACGCTACCCTTGTGGAATTTTTTTTGCAATCTGTATATAATAACGCCAACCTGTGTTGAAAGGTGAAAAAATATTACTAAATGTATACTTCAATATTATGAGTCGAATTGAAAAAATCGCATGCGATAAAAAATTTGAAAAAATAAAATAATAAAAAATCTATATTTAAATAATTTTTGGCATATTTTTATGCGATTTTTTTATTTTTTTTTTTTATTCTTTTATGCCAAGAGGGCATTCTGAATTTACAAGATTTGTCAAAATCGGTGTAACCATATATAAGATATAAGCATTCTAGCTAACATCCCCTTCCTTTTCGTATACACATTGTATATATTTCGCTATATACAACTGATATATTTGCTATCGGCATCTACGTACCGGTCAGAATTGACCTTTTCGTCTATTTGAGATTTCGACGGGATTAAAAATATTCGATTTTAATGGAAATTTTAACTTTTATCAACACAAATGTTATGGTCTATTTCACCCATTAAATATTACCCGATGACCATCTAAAATGGAAGGCTTCTGCTCAGCCCTAAGCTCTAGCCCCATGCTAACTGCGACCTGTAGAGCAACTGCAAAATCAGGAAATTGTTCAGTTTTTGGTCCCGTTCAACCCTTAAATATTATGCGATTATCTAGGAAAGAAATAGGCTTCTATTCTAGCTCTAACCCCACCTCCATTTTGAATTTCGTGAGGATCGGACAATAATTGCGACCTGTAGAGTGATTACAAATTAACATGTACGGACGGACGGACGGATGGACATACATAGCTAAATCGACTCAGCTCGGCGAGATAGGAAGATCCATATACACTTTCCTATGTGGGAAACCAATATTTCGAGGTGTTACATAATTTTTGGGCCAATAAAACTTATAATAACCCCAGCACATCGTGTTGTTGGCTATAATTATCACATATACTTCATATAAGGTGGACGAAGCAGTCGATATAGTCCAAGGCTGGCACATCTCAATATTTATTAAGGTCCTATACGAAATGGACAATATTGGTCCATTCCTTCGGAATCTATTCTATAGAGGGTCAACAATTTGATTGATCTTAACAAAAATCAAAATATATTTAAATAATCGAACATTGGCTGAGGGTATACATCTGTCGGCAAAACCGACCGATATTTTCTAACTTGGTTTTGAATATAACCCATTTCGAAAACTCTATTAAGTTAGTTTTTCGTCAATTAAATATGTGCCAAGTTACCGACCTTGACCACCAAAAGTTATAACAAAGTACATATTTATCTATTATTTATGGCCAAAAATTAACTACTCACGACTTGGCCTTGATGTAATGGCTATTTGGCATGGGTACGCACGTTTGTAGGGTTGAATATATTTTTTGCATTAAAAAAAATACCACTCATATAACTTTCATCAAAGAAGATTTTTCCTGAAATTAAACCACAAGATTGTGGTTTGGTGTCATATTCCCCGGGCGGTACTTAAATACCATTTCACATTCGAAAACGGTGTATCACTCATACACTCACTTACATATTTCAACTATTCGCCATTATTAACAATAAATGTTTAAACAATGAAACAGAAACTTTGTATTGAATTTTAAAGTACTTTCTTGCTTATTTTCCCACTTACCTCTAACACTCATTTTTAGGTTTCTCTTGCCTGCTGAACTGTCTTAATGATTAAATGTTCCGCGTGTCACTAGTTTGTTTTACTGCAAATGTTGTTTATTTATAAATAAATTGCTACACTTTGTCATTCCGATGCGACATTGAAATTCGTTGAAATATTGAATAACACATCAATTGTTTGCGTATTTAAATTAGAGCATAAATAGCGAAAGTAGGGTGAAAATGTCGATTTTTTTTCTTTTCTTTGAAGAGGGAATGTATAGCAACAACGGCAATGATAGCAAAAAGCTGTAGATGGGCAATTTATTCATAAGAGCAGCATAAATATATAGAAACTAGCTGACCCGGTCGGCGTTGCCGGGACGTACTTTTAGACTTTAAAGAATATTTTTAAAAGCCTAATAAATCATAGATCTGAATTTATAAATTTTGTTATAAATTTTGGTTTCCCCGAAATATTGGTTTCCCATATATGAAAGTATATATGGATCTTTTTAGCCTGCCGAGCTGAGTCTATCTATTGGAGATGCTCGCATAATATTTATGGGTTAAAATGGTCCAAAAACAGAAAAATTTCCTGATTTTGCAGTTGCTCTACAGGTCGCAATTATTGACCAATCGACGCGGAAGTTAGCATGAGGCTAGAGCTTAGAGCTAGACAGAAGCCTTCCAATTTTGATGGTCACCGGGTAATATTTAGTGTTAAATAAAAGTCAAATTTTCCATGAAACCGCGAATATTTTTAACCCCGGCCAAACCACAAATAGACGAACAGATCCATTCTGACCGTTACGTAGATCGGATTTATATTGCGAAATATATACAATGTGTATATAAAAAAGAATGAATGTTAGCTAGAATGCCTATATCTCTAGAATGGCTGAACCGATTTTGGCAAATTTTGTTAATTCAGAATGCCCTCTTTGCATTAAAGTATAAAATCGCATAAAAAGATGCCAATAATGATATCAATATAGATTTTGTAGTATTTTATGACATTTTTTTTATTTTTTTTTTCCTATTTTTATCGCATGCGATTTTTTCAATTTGACTTAAAATATTGAAGTGTATACTCCGTAATCTTTTTTTCACCTTACAACACAGGTTGGGGATATTATATACAGATTGCAATTATCGTCCTATACTCACGAAATTTTCACAAGGGTAGGGTTAGGCTCAGAAGGGCTGGTCCTATTGTTTTCAAAGATGGGGTTGAAATGGACCAACAACTACAAATGTTCCTGATTTGTACCCAAACCCAAATGACACAAAATCTCGCATAAAGTTAGAGTTTAGGACAGCGGGTAGAATGGACCACTACGTTTGTGTGAAAAAAATATCAGCATTACTTAATGGCGATATCCGAAATACACAAAAGGTGAACTTCTGGCGTTGTTATGCTCATTTCGTAGTATATTATAACGAATATAATTTATAGATGAGACTAAATTTAGAGATACTGAGGGGCCTTTTGCTTTTGGAGATGATCGCAAAATAAATAGGGGTTCAAATTAATTGAAATTGAAACCAATCGACACGGAATTTTGCATGAGAAGAGAGTTGAGGACAGGGAAGAAGTCTAGCATTTTGGATGACCATTGGATTAAATTTAGCTGTAAAAAATAGACCTCAACAACTAATAACACGACGGAGTGCGTAAATATTGGGCAAATGTCGCTGGTCAAAAAGCTAAGGGTAATATCTGGGCAGTGCTCCGTAACATAATTTCAAAAGCGCAATCTTCCAAAACGGATTTCGACATAAGAGGGCTTCAAACATATTGCAGTTTTTAGAGTATCACATGGTCGGCTCCGCACGACTATAGCCTTTACTTACTTGTTCTTATATTTTATTGAAGGAAAACAAAAAATATCGAAAATAGCAGCAAATTTTAGAATGAGTTTAGGTATGTTCGAATTGGTCACCTTTGGCACGAATTATGGCCTTCAAACGGCCAATGAAACCGTCACACGCTTCCCGAATGTTGCTCTACGGTATTTTGGTCCATTCCCGGCGAAGCGCTTGCTTGAAGTGATCGACACTTTGGTATTTTTTAGAGCCAACCTCGCTTTCCAAAATACTCCATACACAATAGTCCAACGGATTGGTATCCGAGATTTTGATGGCCATTGTGCGCTGGAAATAAAGCGAGGAACCTCATTTTGTAACCATTCTTGGGTGGGGCGTGCTGAGTGTGATGGTTCTGAGTCCTGTTGAAATGTCCAAGGTCTGCGGCCAAAATGTACGTATGCCCATGGCTTTAATAGACCCACCAGAACATTTTCGCGATAATATTCGGCATTTATTCTGATGTCACGGTTGATTAATTCGAGCGGAGAGCGACCATCCGATGTTATGGCGGCCCACACCATCACCATCACCATGGCCGGGGCTTGAATTATGGTGGCCAACCGAAGGTGCACATTTTCAGCTGATCTCTTTAGCAAGTAAACACGATCATTTTGTTTGTTTACAAACTGCTGGACAACGAATGTTTTCTCATCGGAGAAAACCAAATTCGGCAGTTCACCACTTTCGGTCAAGCGAAGCAACTCTTTAGCTCCTTTGAGTCTATTTTCTTTCTGTTGCGGTGTAAGTTCTTGCACTTTTTGGAATTCCAATGGCTTTACCTCGACCTAATTTTTCAATATTTGCCGAATGGAATATTGCGATATGTTCAGCTCTCGAGCCATTTTTCGGCCACTGCGACGCGGGTTTCGACAAAGTCGCTTCCTTACTTTTCGGACGATTTCTGCTAATGTTGCTGTTTTCTTCCGTCCACTTCCTTGACGTCGGGCTACGCTACCAGTATCACGTTGGTACTGGACACAAAAGATTTATTCCCATTTAAATGCTGGAGTGCTCTAACGATAGCCACTTGCGGTTTTCCAGCCAAATATAAAGAAATCACACTATCGCGCTTGAATTTCAACACAATTAACTTTTTTTTTGGAAAATTCTCACAAAAATGCTTTTGTATGCTTGTAAACAATATAATGAGCTGTCACTGAAATAATTTTAACAGCTGTCGGACGAGTGGCTTAGATATGACAGCAGTCTGAATTTGGTTGCTTTTTTTTCATCTCACACTGTAGATGGGGAAATTATTCATAAGAGCAGAGCAGGGCATATATATATAAATAATGGCTCTTCTAATTAAAAAATGCCCAATACGATTGAAAACAAAACATTTGAATTCTAAAACTGATAAAAGTGCCATATTATCTTGGAAAGATATCTTAGAAAGATCTACGAAATTTGTCAAAGGCATTCGAAAGTATTGTGAAGGATCAATGTGGTCAAAAACTTGATAAATTTGAAGCCAAAATTAAATGTCTACCTTTACAAAGTACAATTTTCTATCCCATATCTATTATTTCCTACTCTCTGGACCGACTACATAATTATAATATAATTATTTGGTATGTTCCAGAATTTCAAGAATGTAAACATATTTACTACGATAACCGATTATCTCTCAATGACATCGAAAAAAATTACAAAACAAAGGGATTAATGCAGGTTCTGGAAGAGAACAATTATTTTACTTTTAAAATGAATTTGCCTGTTGCACAAACTCAAAATAATGCAACAGACAAATATTCGGTGATTTTTCTCTCGTGATTGTGAAACCTATACCTAAGTATAATTGTGGTTTGAATTAAGTACATGCCCATATTCTATAGAATTTTAGCAATACAATATTAAATTTGAATATTATTTTTATTTATTGCCTTTGTATAACATGCCAAATAAAATGGACTGTAGATATTCATGTCCTTTACACTCCCACAAATGTTCCTTCGAAAAATGGTATAAAATCATCATTTATTATGGCATAATAGAATGGATGATTGGCATTGAAATCAAATATCGGCAAAGAGGAACGCAGATAGACATCAGCAGCTATAAAAACAAAGCAATATGTTTGGTATAATATATATTTTCAGGATTAACAATTATTATTAATTACCAGCCACGGCAGCAGCCTTTGTACCCTCCTCATTGACTTCAATTGAAGCTTGATGGATTACTTCGGAAAGTGCCAGAGGTCCTGGCGACTTCAACATGTTTCCAAATTCGCCGCTGGAAAACATTTTCTCCATGCCCATCTGTAATGGAAATATATTTATAGTAACACTGTAAGAAATTTTTTTATTTTCAATAATAACAATTACAGCAGCATAGTTGAAAGGTCAAAAATCGGGCGAGTCCGACTATATGATACCCTACACCACAATTCATAATAGTAAGCTATTCGAATTTATGTAAGGTATATCATACCAAACTTTGTTAAATCGATTTAGATTTCTACGAATTTTGATTGAGGCTATAGAGTGCATGATATGACACCGGGAAGTATTATATTAAAGCAAGTAAAAAAGCAGTAAGTTCGGCCGGGCCGATCTTTGACTATCCTTCACCATTTGGAATAAATTTGAAAATTAAAAATACCGAATAAAGCCCTTATGTTGGGGTCTATACGAAGACGTGTACCTGCATAGGCAACTCTTGGCATAAACCATTACAATATTCAAACACGAAACTTGAAAGAAAAAATCGTCCGAATTATGCAGGTAAAATCATAAAAATACTGAATATAAGGAGGTACGGTTATATCGGGGCTAAACGAAGCCCTGGACCTTCTTAGAAAATTTTCTGTCACAGGCTGTAGTACCTATTAGAAACTTCATATACGTAATGTCAAACAATTTCGGTGAATATTTTATCTAAAATCTTCAAAATACCGAGGATAGAAAGGTGGGGTCTATACGAAGACCTGAACCTGCACATACAATTTTCTGACATAGACTGTAGTTCCCATTACAAACTCTAAATACGAAATTTTAAACAACACCGATGAATAATGTCGCTAAAATCAACTTACTAAATATTGGGAGGTACCGTTATATGAAGGCTACACGAAGACGAGGGGCCGGCATAAGCAATTGTTTGTCTTAAGTTGTATTACCCATTACGAATTCTAAATATGAAATTTGAAACAACTTCGGTGAAAATTGTCGTCAAAATATCGAATATCGGCAGGTACCGTTGTAGGTGAGCTATACAATATCGCGGACCTATATAGACATTTCTCTTCCAGGAGGCGAAGAGCTATGACAGAACTTCTAACACGGATTTCTAGACATTTCCATTAAAAAATGTACCTAAAATCATTAATATACCGAATGTAGGGAGGTTCTGCTAAATGGGAGATATACGATATCGTAAACCTATATAGACAATAGTCTTACAGGGGGTAAAGTACTCAGAAGGAATTCATTTTGTGAATTTTCAGACATTTTAATTGAAAAATTTGGCTAAAATAAAAAAATAAAAACTTGTAAAGTGCATATTACGCATGTATGGGAGCTATAGCTATATCTGAACCGATTTTCACTAAATTTGAAGTTCTTGCTTCTAGAATGAATTCGGTAAGGTGTACCAAAATACAGGTCATTTGGACTTATATTAGCCATTTTGTGCACAAATAACCCGAAATCGGTTGAAGCTGTATATGGGAGCGATATCTAAATCTGATCCGATTATCACCAATTTGGTCGTCTTTGGGCCAAACAAATATTGTTTGGAAAATTTCATCCCAATCCGGCAGTAATTTTGTTCAAAAAAATAAATGGACAGTCGGACGCACAGACAGCCAAAAATCAACCCTGGCAGTAATTCTATGAAGATCCTCAAAAGTAATTATGGGTCTACTTCGCTTCCTTCTCCATCCGACATTAACCAACCGACTTTAACCAAATTTAATATACTTTCTTCTAGGCTCAATTCGGTCGCAAAATGTCATACCAAGTCTGCAATAAATTCGGACTTAGTCTATGAAAATTCATGGACAGACGGACGAAAGAACGGACGGACATCCATAAATCGACTCAGAAAGTGATTCTATGAGGACCCTCAAAAGAAACTGTGGATCTACCTCGTTTTCTTCTTCACGTTACATACAAATGCGCAAAGATATAAAACCGTGAGACCACAGTGTGGTGTAGGGTATAAATAGAAGGCAAGTGTATGGGCATGTTTAAAGTTTATATCTCAAAGTAACCTGAAGGCAAAAGAGAAGGTCCTGCGAATTCCAAATGGTTTGAGATTTTATTTTTAAACCCCCTTGGAATCTTTGCTCTACTTCCTGAATCTGCAGAATTTTCCCCGTAATAATTATTTGAATTTCATAGTGTAATTATAGTCTTATTAATACCATGCTTACCTTTTTGAGAACATCGCTTAGCTTGATCTTAAATTCAGCTTTGAATTTCGGCAAATGTATATCTAGGCTCATCGAATATTTGACATTTCTGGAAATTATGTCGGCTAATTTGAAATTTGTTAATTTCTTTAAAATTTTCGATAGCCCATCAATGGCATTGGGAAGTATGATCAACATCGATAGATTCGAATCTTTGTAGGGCAAAAGCAACGCCGTTGCTTCCAGTTCATCAATGAAACCAAATTTTAACTGCGATCGTACCCTCATCATTTGAACTTTTGTAAAATGTTTAGAATCCATGTAGAAAAAATCCTCTGTAGTTGATTCTAGAGGAAATGCTGTGGCCCATTTGCCATTGAAATGAATTGCACTTAAAATATACGATTTGGTAAATGGGGTGATATTGTCCTCGGAAATTAGGTTTTCAATCATATTATCTGTTTTCGAGGCAATCCAATCGTTAATGATTTTTGTGGAATTTTTCGGTTTTGTGAAATCAATATTTTCAGCTGTTGTATAGAAATTTTGGGAGAGCAGATTATTGTAATTTTCATTAAGTTCTTCATTTTGCTTGACATAGATTTTATTGGCAATTTTTAATGTATCTCCTTGTTGATATGTGGCCAATAATTTATGGTAGTTGGAGGCAAGATTTTGAATATTCATATTGGTAAAATTAAGACCCCTTTCCAATTCTTGGGCGGTTTTGCCTTCAGCACCCAATCGTAGCATTGCCAAACAGGCCTGAATGGCAAAGGGAGAAAAGATGTGATTCCCTTGCTCTTTTCTTGATAGCTGTATTTCATTGAAAATGTTTCTGCCAAATTGTGATAGGGCAGTTTTGAAGGTAGCATCGGATAGTGTGCTCATTGGAGTAGACCAGCTTATGGCCAAAATAGCAACAAATAATGGAATCTTAACTGCAAACAAATGATTTTTTTGTTTTAATTCCCGTTTTGAATACGATATATATATTTTTTTTTTTTTTTTTGTGGTTACCTACTAATTGACTTACCCCACATGTTGCTTTTTCAGTTGAGAAACTCAAAATATCTCTTTCAAATTGATTAATTGCGAAGAATAGCGTTTATGACAGTCATCATTTTTTGTTGTACAGTCAAACAATGTTAAAAAGATTTCGACCTATAAAATGGTCAAAATCAAAATCAAGTGGAAATCTAATCTAGTGGAAAGTATATATTTTATACCCTCCACCATACAAAGTAGAAGGGTATATTAAGTTCGTCATTCCGTTTGTAAAGGTATATATTCTTGATCAGCGTAAAATTCTAAGACGATTTAGCCCTGTCCGTCCGTCTGTCCGTCTGTTGTAATCACGCTACAGTCAAAACGAATTAAGATAGAAAACTAAAATTTTGCACAGATCTGTCTTTTGTCTGTCAGGCGGGTCAAGTTCGAAGATGGGCTATATCGGTCCACGATATCGTATAGCCCACATATAAGAAAAACCACACCCCTCCCCCTCATATTCGGTATTTCGATGATTTTTTCATGGAATTGTCTAAAAAACTACACAAGGAGTTCTTTATGAGTACTTTACCCCCTGAAGGATAATTGTCTATAAAGGTCCACGATATCGTATAGCCCTCATATAAAAGAAACCACCCCCCCCCCCCCAAAAAAAAAAATGCGGTATTTCGATGATTTTTCATGGAATTGTCTAAAAAACTACACAAGGAGTTCGTTGTGACTACTCTACCCTCTGGAAGAGAATTATATATATATCGGTCCAGGTTATCGTATAGCCCCCATATAGCGGTACCACCCGATATTCGGTATTTTGATGATTTTAGCCACATTTTTCAATGGAATAGTCTGAAATTCTACGGAAGGAGTTCCTTGTGAGTACTTTATCCCCTAGAAGAGAAGAATTGTCTATATAGGTCTACGATATCGTATAGCCCCCATGTAACAGATCCCCCCGATATTCTGTATTTTAACGATTTATGCCACATTTTCAATGGAGAATTTTTCGAAAATTCTCACAAGAAGTTCATTGTGACTATTTCACCCCCTCGAAGAGAATTATCTATATCGGTTCAGGATATCGTATAGTCCCCCGATATTCGGTATTTTTATGATTTAAGCCATATTTTTAAGGAAATTGTTCAGTATAGCGCCCATATAACGGTACCCCCAGATAGTCGGTATTTTCATGATTTTTGCGGAATTATTCACCGGAGTTGTTTCAAATTTCTTATATAATGTTCGGAACACTTACTACAGTCTATGACACAAATTATTTATGCAGGATCACGTCTTCGTAAAGCTCCCATATAAGGGTTTTAATTCAAGCGGTATTTTCCGAAGAAATTTTTTTGGAAATCATTCAAGTTTCTTCTAAATGGTGGATGGTATAAAATGTTCAACCCGGTATAAAAAGTTCAACCGGCCGAACTTAGCTGCTTTTTTCCGAAATTGAATAGAGAAAACAATGCCCCAGTAGTGGTTGCTAACAGCCCGTGTTCACTGTATATTTCAGAATTTGTTTAGAACATTTGTTGTTATTTTTATTATTTATGTTATACAAACAAGTTTGAAATATAGATGAATAATGTTTTATTTTTTTGCCTAACAACGGATGATAGTGTGCAGCCAAACTTTCAATACAGATGCGGAGAATTGCATTTCGTAGAAAAAGTGTATATGTTTTGTTATTATTTCTTAACCGTACTTAAAACAATATGGATTAACGTAAATAATGGGGATTTTTTGGCGAACGTAAATCCCCTCTGTTTAAGACGAAACACTTGTGTAAATACAATATTTAACGCCGAAAACATAAAAGCAACTGGAAGAATGAGCCAGAACGCAATACTAAGTTAAAAAAAAATATATATATATAACCAAATCACTCAATATTTTTGCATTGGGAATTTTCCAAACCCATTATTAGACTAGACGATTAAATTCAATAATTTTCCATAATTACAGAAATAAGTTAAAAACAAGTAAGCAAAGGCTACAGTCGAGCGGGGCCGACCGTTGAATACCCTACAACACTATAATAAACGATACAGTTTATATAGGCGAGAAACTCGAAAGAATTCCACAATATATTGTGACAAATAATAAAAGAAAACCACCAGGTTTCGTTCTCTAATTTTCGAATAATAGCAACTTTAACTAATTTGTTCATTTCCAATTTATTGGTAGATGTTGCACTTAAATGGTCTTCCTAGATCTGGAACCAATATTTCCCAAAGACCTATAATCTCTCAGAAGTGGCAAAATATTAACATTTATTATTGGTTTTTGACTGAAACACATCTATATGAGATACAGTCATTTGACTATATTCTTCAAAGAAATCTGCGTTAACGAAATAGTCAGAAGTGCGTCTTTCCTGTATTTGTGAATTCTCCAAAAAGTCACTGGAATGGACATTTTCGTATTTTGTCTACAAAAGTTGGCAATCCAAAACTGCATGGCTTTTGCAATGTCCGGTAATCCCCATTCAAATGTGCGTGAGGATCGGGCGATAATTACGACCTTCTGACAATTTTGCAGTTTTTTTGGTCCATTTCAACCCCTAAATATATGGCGATCATCTCCAAAAATAATAGGCTTCTATTCTGACCCTCATCTTATCCCCATGCAAAATTGCGTAAGGATCAGGCCATAAATGCGATCTGTATATGATATCCTAATATCCTAACTACTTAGTTTTGTTAGCTGTAGAAATATTACCAAATGTTTAATTCAAAATGAAAATATGCCAAAAATATGACAAAATGGAAAAAATATGAGAAAATTTTACAAAATCAATATTTTCATCTTTTTGTATGCGTTTTTTAGACGTTTTTCCTTTCCTGCCAAGAGGCCATTCTGAATTAATGAGAACTGTCGAAATCAGTTCAGCCGTTCTCGACATATATGAGATCTTTCAAGCATATCTTCTTTGATAGACATATATATCGCATATATTTGCTATATATCGATTTTTTGGATCTTAACATCAATGTAAAGATCAGAAGTAACCTTGTCATGGCTTTGTGAGTTCCCCGGGATATAAAATATTCGCGGTTTAATGAAAAAGATATGGTCTATTTTACCCGCTAAATATTATCCGATGACCACCCAAATTGGTAGGCTTCTTCCCCGCCCTAAACTCTAGCTACATGCGAAATTCCGCGTCGATTGGTCTATAATTGCGACCTGTATAGCTACTGCAAAATCCCACATTTTTTCAGTATTTGGTCCATTTCAACCCCTAAACATTTGGCGATCATCTCCAAAAGAAATAGGGTTCTATTCTGACCCTAGCCCCACCTCCATTCTAAATTTCGTGAAGATCGGGCCATAATTGCGACGTGTAGAGTGATTACAAATTAACATGGACAGACGGACAGACGGACGGACGGACGTACATAGCTAGATCGACTCAGCTCGACGAGCTAGGAAGATCCATATATACTTTCCTCGGTGGGAAATCAATATTTCGTGGTGTTACATAATTTTTGGCCCAATCAAACTTATAATACCCCCAACACATAGTGTTGTAGGGTATAAAAAAACATTAAGTTCAGCCGGGCCGAACTTTTTATACCATTCACCTTAGTGTAAAGGAAACATTTTTATATAGAAGTATCTGTATTCAAGCGTGTTTCACTATTAACTTCATATATTCATGTATCAAATTTCATTTCATTTCATTTTTAGCCTATGGCCATTTTATTAATTCAGGTCTTAATACTAACATAGGTTAAATGGCTTAAACCTAACTATACTATAAATAAACATGCATTTGTACAACGCCTACTTTACGTTAACAGAAAGTGTCACAACAAGTTTGTGATCACAACAAGCTACATTATGCCTTATGGCTAGAACTTAAATTATGCGCCGAAAAATAGAATAATATAAAAAAAGGGCTATGAAAATCTTACGAACTAGATAGGAAAAATTAAAACTAAATATTTACAATACACTTAAAACTACTTAACCTAACTTAAGTGAGTTGGGCGGTGTTGTACACCAGTCTACTCCAGTCCGAGGATAAAAATCTTCTATGGTAAAATAGAAGACATCTATTCTATCTATCTGCGCCATATCGTAGATAGACCTGCAAGAACGGCTGCTATAGGACCCATCTGGCAATTGGAGGCAATAGGACCCATCAGACAAGAGAAAAGTATTTTTCTTTCCCACAACCTTAGCCTTTCCATCTGATGTGACGAAATGTTAAACCAGACGGGGAAAGCATAGGCGACGATAGGTCTGATCACCTGCCGGTATATCAAAAGCCTAACATCGTGGGAAAGACCACACCTCATCCTCAAGATTCGACTATATCCGAAATATAGACCCTTAGCCCTAGTCAGGACGTAGTCTATATTCCCATATAACGATACCCCGCGATATTCGGTATTTTGATGATTTTAGCCACATTTTCCAATCGTATTGTCTGAAAATCCACACACGGAGTTCTTTGTGAGCACTTTATCCCAGAAACGGAATTGTCTATATAGGTCCACAATATCGTATATCCCCCATATAACGGTACTCCCCTATATTCGGTATTTTGATGATTATAGCCACTTTTTCCAATGGAATTATCTGAAAATCCACACTAGGAGTTCCTTGTGAGTACTTTACACGCAGACATAGATTTGTCTTTATAGGTCCACAATATCGTATATCCCCCATCTCGGCACCTTCCTATATTAGATATTTTAAAGATTTTAAAAGCGATTCTTTACAACTATATCTAAATATATCTCTCTTTGCCAGAAATCTGCGATGAATATGAAATTTATGATTTTTCATAAATTAGATATGTTCACATTTTCTAAAAAGTATCTTGTATGTCGCCCTAGTCAGGACGTAGTCTATATTCCGAATATGGTCGAACCTCTCCTGAAATATAACACCTAAGTATTTCAACTCAGCTGAAACTGGAACCTGCTCAGAACCTATTCTAAGAACCGGCTGAAACCTTCTGAAATTAGGGTATACTATGCCTGGCCGACCAAGGAAGGCCGTAGCACAACATTTCCCTACATTCAACTTTAGGCGCCATGTAACGAAGTACCGATGGAGGGCATCGAGGTACTCGTTAACGCGCCTATTAACCGACCTAGCAAGCGGACCGGAAAAGGCTAAAAGGACATCATCGGCATAGGTCAGGAGAAGACCACCAGGAGGAGGAGGCGGGATGTCACAAGAAAATATGTTATGTAACATCGGGCCAAGAAGGGAACCTTGAGGATCGCCTGCCAACACAGGGCGGCGACTAGAGAGTAGCTCACCCACCTTAATCCTGAGGAATCGATCCCTAAGAAAACTAGCGACCATTCTACAGAATTGTCTGTCAAAGCCAAACGATTGGAATTTATATAAAATCCCATCGTGCCAGACAGAGTCGAAAGCCCTGGCGATATCTAGGGAGACGGCTATAGTTCCGTGCTTCCTATCGAAGCCTTTCCCAACGAAGCTACTGAAAGCCGTTAAGGCATGGGTCGTGGAGAGACCAGACCTAAAACCGAACTGACAATCCCGTAGAATTCTCCTATCTTCTACGGTTCTTCTAATCCTTGCCAGAATAAAGGATTCGAGTAACTTTCCAAACGGCGATACGAGGGAAATAGGCCTGTAGTTACCACACTGAGAGGTATCGGAACCCCGCTTCAGTATGGGAACCATCTTGGCCTCCTTCCAAGCGGTAGGAAAGTATACTAAATTCAGACATTGATTAAAGACAATTGTCAAAAAGGACAGAATTACATTTCCTGCCCTTTTCAAAGCTACATCGGGAATTTGGTCCATACCGCAGGATTTACGGGCTGGTCGGCGTGAAAGCGCAAAACCAACCTTCCTGGGATAGACAAACCCGCTATCTTCCCAAAGAGAGATGTTGTCCACAGATGAGCCATTTGCAGTGAATGAACTGCTAAACGACACGGCAGGAGAATGGTCTTTAATCCCCTCCACCACCAACCTGACTTGGCGCTGGAAGGAGTCGGCAACCGAAACTCCCCCATGTCGAATCGTTCCCTGCACCTGGTCCGCCAACTCATGTATCAAACAAATAGGCAAAGGCTATAGTCGTGCAGGGCCGACCATGTGATACCTTACAACACTACAAAATGTTAGAAGGCCCCTTATGTCCAAATCCACTTTGGAAGATTTCGCTTATTAAATTGTATCACCGATCACTACCTAGATATTACCCTTAGCATTTTGACCAGGGACATTTGTCGTGCTGTTAGTGGTTGTTGTCCATTTTACAGTTAAATATAATCCATCGGGATGGTCTTATGGTACCTCTCCCGCGAAATGTCGAAATTTTGTATATCCTTTGAGCTCATAAAACGCGAAATTAATATCCGATTCCATTTAGACTTGCCACATCTGAATATTTCTATTAACACAATATCTGTTATAAAAACAGTAGAGATCGGGCCATTCCCTCTGGTACCTCTCCCACAAAGGGTCAAAGGTTTGAATAACCAAAACGTTTATAAAATCCAAAATAAGCCTCAAATTCTTTTTATATTTCACACATCCCATTATTTCCACTAACAAAAGATCTGTTTCGAAGATGGGACATATCGGTCCACTACTTCTCGTACCTCCAAAGGATAAAAGGCTGAACATTTTAAATAACCATGAAGCTCATAAAAAGCGAAATTACCATCCAATTCTATTCAAGACTTGGTATATCTCAATATTTCCATCAACACAAGATCTGCTATAAAGTTGGTAAAGATCGGACCATTTCTTTTGCTACCTGCCCATAGGGATCAAGATTATGAAAAACAAAAACGATCAAAGAAAGCGAAATTAGCATTCAACACTCTCCAAATTTCACACATACAAACATTTTTATACCCTCCACCAAAAAAAGTATGGAGGGTATATTAAGTTCGTCATTCCGTTTGTAACTCATCGAAATAATCATTTTAGACCCACCAAAGTATATATATTCTTGATCAGCGTAAAATTCTGAGACCATTTAGCCCTGTCCGTCCGTCTGTTGTAATCACGCTACAGTCTAAACGAATTAAGATAGAAAGCTAAAATTTTGGACAGATCTCTCTTTTGTCTGCAGGCAGATTAAGTTCGAAGATATCGTATAGCCCCCATATAACGGTACCCCCGATATTCGGTATTTTGATGATTTTAGCCACATTTTTCATTGTCTGAAAATTCACACAAATAGTTCCTTGTGGGTACTTTATACCTCGGCAGAGAATTATCTATATAGGTCCACAATATCGTATAGCCCCCATATAACGGTACCCCCACGGTATTCGGTATTTTGATGATTTTAGCCACATTTTTCAATGGAATTGTCTGAAATTCCACAAAAGGAGTCCCTTGTGGACATTTTACCGCCTCAAAAAGCATTGTCTATATATGTCCACGATATCGTATATCCCTCATATAACTGTACCCCCCGATATTCGGTATTTTGATGATGTTAACCACATTTTTCAATGGAATTGTCAGATAATCCACACAAGGAGTTCCTTGTGAATACTTCACCCCTGAGAGAGAATTTTCTATACAGGTCCACGATATCGTATATCCCCCATATAACGGTACCCCCCAATACTCGGTATTTTTATGATTTTACCCACATTTTTCATCGGGATTGTCTGAAAATCCACACAAGGAGTTCCTTGTGGGTACTTTATACCTCGGCGGAGAATTATCTATATAGGTCCACGATATCGTATAGCCCTCATATAACGGTACCCCCGATATCCGGTATTTTGATGTTTTTAGCCACATTTTCCAATCGTATTGTCTGAAAATCCACACACGGAGTTCTTTGTGAGCACTTTACACGCAGACATAGATTTGTCTTTATAGGTCCACAATATCGTATATCCCCCATATCGGCACCTTCCTATATTAGATATTTTAAAGATTTTAAAATGATTTTTAATGGATTTTATTTTTTTTTTTTTTTTTTTTGAAAAATTTTTAATTCGTTCCAAATGGTGGAGGGTATTCAAAGTTCGGCCCGGCCGAACTTACTGCTTTTTTACTTGTTGCTAATACAATATCTGCTGTGCAGATTATATGTATCTGTGAACTCCTTCTTGTATCCCACTCACAAAGGGTCCCAATTTTTATCTGTAATGACTTGCGAAACAAGTTAGCGATTCTTTACAACTATATCTAAATATATCCCTGTTTTCCAGAAATCTGCGATGAATATGAAATTTATGATTTTTCATAAATTAGATATGTTCACATTTTCTAAAAAGTATCATGTATGTCATGTAAAGTGAAGTGACAGAGGGTATACATCTGTCGGAAAACCGACAGATACTTTTTAACTTGTTTTTTTATTTCACCCTGTACATCAATATAGCTTTCAAAATACTTTATAAGAACAAAAAGATCTACCTTTATACAACTTTAAAGAATGTATCAAGACTCCAATTAAATCGGAACTCTTTTGTTATTTATGTACAAATTTATTTTAATAATCACTATGTACGTGTGCTACACTGTAAAATATATATTTTTTTAGAAATTACACTCAAATTATTTTTTTAACAAGAATACATATAAAATTAAAAACCCACAAATGTCCCCTCGAACAGACGAACGTTGTCGGCATTAATGATGGTGTAATAAAACGGATGATCGGCATTGAACATAATCGAGTGGATGCCACCACCATCTCGTGTAGTTATTGTGAGTCCTGCAAAAAAATAGAAAATATTGAATAATAACATATATATATATCGAAAAATAAAGTTAAGTGCTTTATATAGACCTCTATATACAGGGTGAGATAAAAAGCTGCAACAAAGTCGAACGCCATAATTTGTACATTTCTTTTTTTCAATATTATTGAATGAATGCAAAAAATGTAGGAAATAACATGAAATGTTAGAATAAGTTTAGATTTGGTTATTTTTGGCACGAATTATGGCCTTTAAACGGCCAATGAAACCGTCACACGCTGCCCGAATATTGCTCTGCGTCCATTTCCGGCGAAGTGCTTGTTTGAGAGGATCGACACTTTGGCATTTTTTAGTGCCAAACTTGCTTTCCAAAATACTTACGACACAATAGTCCAACGGATTGGTATCCGGAGATTTTGGTGGCCATTGTGCGCTGGAAATGAAACGAGGAAGCTCGTTTTGTAACAATTCTTCGGTGGCGCGTGCTGAGTGCGATTGTGTCCAAAACCTGTTTTTTGTACCCTCAAGAATATTTTCGCGATAATATTCAGCATTTATCGATTAATATGAGCGGAGAGCGACCATCGCCTGTTATGACGGCCCACAACATGACCATGGCCGGCGCCTGAGTTCTTTTGGCCAGCCGATGGTGCAGATTTTCAGCTGACTTCTTTGGCAAGTAAACACGATCATTTTGTTCGTTTAAAAACTGCTGGACAACGAATGTTTTCTCATCGGAGAAATCCAATTTCCGCTGTTCCCCACTTTCGACCAAGCAAAGCAACTCTTTAGCTCTTTTGAGTCTATTTTCTTTCAGTTGCGGTGTAAGATCTTGCACTTTTTGGAATTTCAATGTCTTTACCCCAAGAATTCGGGTGAATAATATCCCTAAAATCATCAAAATACCGAATATCGGGAGGTACCGTCATACGGGTTCTATACCAAAATAAATAAAAATTCAAGAAAATTCTGGACGAAAATCGTGTTTTTTAGAAAAAATGTAAACAAAAGATTATAGATGCTAAAAAGTACAAGGATCCGAAACTTTTTCAGGGACACCCAGTCCAAAGATATTATAGTTCCCAATTATTTAGAAGCACTTAGCTCTGAAAATTATTTCTTACCAAAAAATCACCTCCTAGACACAAATTGTGATTTTGTTAAATAAAACTTGTAAGGACTGTCCAGACAAAAGTTTTGGCTTTTCTAGTAAAAAAGAATTAAGGACTAAAATTATTTCATGACACCGGGCCAAAAATGTAATGTTTCCGGGACAAAAAAAGCGTGGTTTAAAGAAAAAAATGCAGAAACTGCCAATACCTAAATCGTTACCGTGATACTAGTAGCGTAGCCCGACGTCAAGGAAGTGGACGGAAGAAAACCGCAACATCAGCAGAAATGGTTCGAAAAGTAAAGAAGCGACTTAATCGAAACCCGCATCGCAGTGGCCAAAAAATGGCTCGTGAGCTGAACATATCGCAATATCCCATTCGGCAGATATTGAAAAATGAGTCATTGAAATTCCAAAAAGTGCAAGAACTGAGACCGCAGCAGAAGGAAAATGGACTCAAAAGAGCTAAAGAATTGCTTCGCTTGGCCGAAAGTGGTGAACTGCCGAATTTGGTTCTCTCCGATGAGAAAACATTCATTGTCCTGCAGTTTATAAACAAAAAAAAAAAAAAAAATGATCGTATTTACTTGCCAAAGAGGTCAGCTGAAAATGCGCACTTTCGCCTGGCCACCAGAACTCAAGCGCCGGCTAAGGTGATGGTGTGGGCCGCCATAACAACCGATGGTCGCTCTCCGCTCGTATTAATCGACCGTGGCATCAGAATAAATGCCGAAAAAAATATTCCGGAGGGTGTCTTAAAGCCTTGGGCACGCAAACATTTCGGCGCAGACCTTGGACATTCTAACAGGACTCAGCACCATCGCACTCAGCACACGCCACCCAATAATGGTTACCAAATGAGGTTTCTCGCTTCATTTCCAGCGCACTTGGCCACCAAAATCTCCAGATACCAATACGTTGGACAATTGTGTCTGGAGTATTTTGGAGTATTAAAAAATACCAAAGTGTCGATCACCTCAAGCAATCATTTCGCCGGGAATGGGCCATAATACCGCAGAGTAACATTCGGGCAACGTGTGACGGTTTCATTGGCCGTTTGAAGGTCATAATTCGTACCAAAGGTGACCAATTCGAATCTAAACATATTCTACAATTTGATGCTATTTCCGACATATTTTGTTGTCATTCAATAATATTTAAAAAAAAAATTATAAATATGGCGTTTGATTTTGTTGCAGTTTTTTTTTCTTCCTGTATCTTGGATTTTCTCCTACACACAAATCGTGAAATTATTAGGAAAAGCATTCAGAAAACATTTTCACGACCCTAGTGAGTGTTTGTTTTTTAATTGATTTTTTTTTTATTAAAAAAAAATGAAAGGGTTTGTGATACTTTCGTAGAGCTCATAGGTATACCTTTTAATTTTTAATTTTTCTTCCAATTTTTTAATGAAGTATTTTGAAATTATAGCCTAATGAAAGATAAAAAAACAGATGTGAAATACCTCATTATAACAAAAAAATTGAAATCAAATCTTGGAGTTCCTCTTGAATTCCTCAGAAGCCAATGAACGTTATTTAAGAATAAGACAAAGTATCCGCAATAAAATTTTCTTAACTATCAGTTCAAAGCTACTGAGTTTTAGCAAAAAACAGGAAATTTAAATAACCTTAGGGAGGCCATTTGTGAAAAAGGATCGCTAAAGTTCTTGGTGTGTATATCTTGCAGAAATACCTTCGAGGAAGTCTGGTATTGAATGTAAAGCTTTGCTGAGATATTCTCCTTCAATTCGAGTTCACTTCTTTGAAATGTACTCACCCGTTGCAGCCGCAGCTTCTGTTCCCTTTTCATCGACTTCGATGAATGCCTTGTGAATTACGTTCGATATCTGCATTGGTTCGGCTGAGTCTAACATTCGTCCGAATTCTCCAGAATTAAACATTTTGTTCATGCCAAGCTGAGAATAATAATAAACAAAATTAAATGTATAATTATAAATAAAATTCAATCATTTTCTTTAAAGCAACTCCTCGATCCCGAATTTCTAACTCACCTTCATAAGAACATCTTTCAGCTCCACCTCGAATTCCGTCTTAAATTTCGGCAAATAAATATGAACATAGGTGCGATCCATCATTTGATTGGCAATATTCTCAAAGGGAATGTGTTTCAGTTTTTCCTGCATATCAGCCAAACCATCCATGGCATCGGGTAGGAGGATAAGCATAGAAAGATCTGAGTTTTTATAAGGTAAACGTAAGGCGGTCATATTCAACTCCGGGAATATATTATAATATGAAAGTTCTCTCTTATACATCATGGGAATTTTTAATGCCTTGTTAGCACTATTCAAGAAAAAATCTTGGGGACTCGTTGCCTCCTTGTGGAACTCTGATTCCCATTCACCCTTAAAGTGTATGGCACTAAGCAAAAATATTCTCATATCCGAATTTAACATCTGGGGAGAGACCATATTTCGAATTGCCCCACCCGTGCTATGCTCCACCCACTTGTTTATGGCAGAGGCAGCAAATACACTTTTCGTAAAATCCATGTTTTCCACGGAAGCAAGGAAATTCTGGACCAATGTTTTGTTAAAATCCTCTTTTACTTTGTAATTTTCCATGACATAGATTTTATTGGCCACATTGAGTACTGAGTTATTTTCATATTTTTCCAACAGCTCATGATACTTATCAGCCACACTTCCCAAGTATTTTCCCACAGTATTTAAATTGGCATCCATTTCCACGGAGGTCTGACCCTCAGCCCCCATACGGGTCATTGTGAGGCAAGTTTGTACCGAGAACGGGGAAAAGAAAATACTTTTTCCTGGATTTCCATTGGCCAATTCACCATAAAGTTTTCCACCAAACACATCCAAACTGTTGAGAAAATCTGCCCGGGTAAATTCCTGTTTCACATCGTTGACATGTACAAAATTGTCCGAGGAATTCGATGCTTTCGCATGAGAACGTATGGTCAAGAGAATGGGTACAGTTATAACCACAGCTATTGCAAGTAAACTTAAAGTAACCGTTATTGTGATGCACAGGCACGACATATCGCCTGACTTTCTAAAACCGTTTTGGCAAGCAAAGTTCTAGACGTTGTGAAAATACCCAATTGCAGTGCTTCGAAAAATTATTTTTTTTTCTATTTCTTCAAAATGTGGGGTAATTAATCTTCCACCTGTACAGAAGACTGAAACACTGAAAAGTAATTACGCCTTATTTTCTTGAAATCGCTATAAAAAGCTGTGTGTTTTCCCAATGTATGACTGACTATTGACTTCTTCTTTGGGATTTCTTGACAAAATTGCTGTTTTCATGAGAAAAATTAGCAAAAGGTAAGTCGGCAATTTAAAACGACACTTTGGATTTAACAATTGTTCAAACAAAAACAGTATTAAGGTAAATAAATTGCTAAAGTTGAGACCTTAAATTTCCGAAAAAAAACATTATTATTTACATAACGTCTCACATACTCAGCAAGTGATCTGCAAGGGTTCCCCCACTTTGAACACAGGTGATCTAATATCTCCAAATTCCAAATCATGTGTTAACTTTGCTTTCATTGTCCACTCGTTTTTTTTGCGGCAATTAGAGCGACGTGTTTGATAGCATGTACCGATTTTACAAACATGTATTTATATATGTATTCACTTTCAGTATATGACTAATTTTTGATGTCAAACAAAATTTATGTTTAGTTTAGGATATATGACTACTTAAGTTTATGATCACCCAAGGTTGTCTCTCATCCAATTTTTTTAAATACAAAATCTCAGAAATCTCGTATTATCTCATATTATCTCATAAAAGACTTCTCATAGATAAACGGAAGACCAGAAGTTCTTCTAATAGAAAGCCAGATGATCAGAAGATCTTCAAATAGCAGACCAAAGGGTATTTTCATAGAATTGCACAAGGACTTAAAAAAAACAGAAGTCCAGAAGGTCTTCTCATAGAAGACCAAAAGATCTTCTCATAGAAGACCAAAACGTCTTCTCATAGAAGACCACAAGGTATTCTCGTAAAAGATCACAAGGTCTTCCCATGGAAGACCACAAGGACTTCTCATAGAAGACAAGACAGTTTTCTCATAGAAGACCATAAGGTCTTCTCATAGAAGACCATAAGGAGACCAGAAGATCTTCTCATAGAAAAGCAGAAAGTTTTATCAACGAAGACCAAAGGACTTCTCATAGAAGACAAGGAGAACTTTTCATAGAAGACCATATCTAGAAGTTCTTCTCTCAGAAGAATATCAAAAAGTCTTCTCATAGGAAACCAAGAGGTCTTCTCATAGAAAACCAAGAGGTCTTCTCATAGAAGACCAGAAGGTCTTCTCATAGAAGACCAGAAGGTCTTCCCGAAGAAGACAACACAAGATCTTCTCGTAGTAGAGACCTCAAGTTCTTTTCATAGAAGACCAGAAGGTCTTCTCATAGAAGACCAGAAGGTCTTCTCATAGAAGAGACCACAAGGTCTTCTCATAGAAGAGACCACAAGGTCTTCTCATAGAAGAGACCACAAGGTCTTCTCATAGAAGAGACCAGAAGGTCTTCTCATAGAAGACCAGAAGGTCTTCTCATAGAAGAGACCACAAGGTCTTCTCATAGAAGAGACCACAAGGTCTTCTTCTAGAAGACCAGGAGGTCTTCTCGAAGAAACCAGAAGGTCTTCCTACAGAAGGCCAGAAGAGGTTCTAATAGAAGACCTGAAGGTCTTCCTATAGAAGGCCAGGATGTCTTCTCATAGAAGACCTGAATGTCTTCCTATAGAAGGGCAGGAGGTCTTCCTATAGAAGGCCAAGAGGAATGTCTTCCTATAGAAGGGCAGAAGGTCTCCTCAGAGAAGACCTGAAAGTCTTCCTATAGAAGGCCAAGAGGAATGTCTTCCTATAGAAGGGCAGAAGGTCTCCTCAGAGAAGACCTGAAAGTCTTCCTATAGAAAGCCAAGAGGTCTTCCTATAGAAGGCCAGGAGGAATTCTCCCAGAAGGCCAGGAGGTCTTCTCCTAGAAGACCAGAAGTTCTTCTTCTAGAAGGCCAGAAGTTCTTCTCCTAGAAGACCAGAAGTTCTTCCCCTTGTAGGCCAGAAGGACTTCTCATGAAAGGAACAAAGCTTCTTCTCCTAAGAGAAAAACGACAGTTCTGCTCCTAGAAGAGCAGAAATTCTGCTCAAAGAAGTCTTCGAAGTCATTCGAAGCCTAGATGATGTTGACTACGTATTCTGGCTTGATCGACTTAGATACATGCTAATGTGAATAAAAATAAATTAATTTTTTTAATGTTCCATATTTTTATTTTTTTTTTTTTTTTCCTAAAAGTTCGCTTGTGATCCTTGGAAGAATATTATGCCGTCCGAGTTTACAATCATATAGAAAAATCCATGGTCAACAATAAATCTTTGAATAATTTCAGGAGCTGCTGCACGCATCATACCAAGACCGATTACGCCTGGATTAAGAAAAAAAAGGGACTCTTTTAGCTCCATCTCAACTTTTAGCTCCATATTACTTACCTGTTGCGGCTGCAGCTTCGGTACCCTTTTCATTGACTTCAATAAATGCCTTGTGGATGATTTTTGACACTTCAAAGTTTTCGTGTGATTTCAGTATTTTTCCAAATTCTGCCTCCTTGGTGAACATACGTTCCATGCCCAGCTGTAAGAATTCCGCACTCAATTTATTAAACAATGTATCTATATAGATGTATATAAAGTATATACAACGGTTATAACAGCGAAATTTAAAATTTCCAAATTCGCTTATAAGTGTTGTAAACTAAAATGACCTGAGGAGGGTTGAAAATCGGAATTTTTGAATTTCGCCCTTATAAGCGACATATGGTTAAAAATAATTTCGTTTTAAATATTTTCGACTGATTTCACATATTTACCCTTTTTAAAATGTCACTCAATTCAATTTCGTATTCAGTTTTGAATTTTGGCATTTCCACCATTACCGTGGTGGAAAACATTTCCTCTCTCAGTTCTTTCAAAGAAAACGTTTTCAATTTACTCCTTAAACCACCCAAACCAGTACGAGAATTTGGTAGAATTACAATCATCGAATGATCTGAGTTCTTGTAGGGCATTTGCAAAACCGTGGCATCCAATTTGGATATGTCTCCAAAGTAAAACCTTCCCTTCAGATGCATCATATCCACATTAATGCTATTCGCCTCATCCACATAGAACTTTTGTGGCCTGGTGGCATGTTCGGGAAAAGCTTGAGCCCATTCACCCTTGAAATAAATTGCATTCAACAGCACCATGCGGGTCTTTTCATTCAAGTCCTTGGCCGTGATGAGGTTCTTAATTAAATTATTCGTTCTCTGTGCCACCCATGAGTTCATTGTTCGGGCTGCCATAATATTTTGTGTAAAATTCAAGTTTTCCGCCGATGTTAAAAATTTGTTCGCCAACAAGTTATTGAATGTCTCTTGGACCTCAAAATCTTCCATAATGTACATTTTATTGGCCATCTGCAGAATATTACTATTTTCATATTTTGAGAGGACTTCGTGAAAGTTGTTGGCTAAATCCTGCTGATTGTTAAATTTCATATTTAAGCTGGTGTCAATTTCAGCCGCAGTTGGACCTTCAGCACCCATGCGAACCATAGCCAGACAGGTCTCAATTGAGAAGGGAGAAAATATGATGTTTTTATCAGTACCTGTCTTTGCAAGTTTTGAGTAAAGTTTGGCGCCAAAGTTTTCCAAAGACTTGGAGAAATTAACATTTGAGGTAGCATCATTTGGGGTGGTAGTTGGGCTAGCCAAGGTGATGGTTATTATCAAGGCGAAAATGACTACCCTTAAGGTGGTACTAACTGAAATGAGAATAATAGAGCAAATAGCGTTAGGTTTTAGAAGAGAATAGTCTTATCTTTCTTAGTCCGGGAGTTTATTTGGTATTTTAGTTTATTATACCCTCAGCCATATGGCTAGATTGGGTGTCTTAACGAAATAACGGTTTTAAACCAAATGTCTCTTTCGACCAAATCTGTTTCAGGACATAGACTCCAAATGTCCTGAAACGGATTTGGTGCAAAGAGTTGTCCGTCCCTCCGTCTGTCTGGCTGGATAACTCTCGAAGATTTGGTTCAAACTTGGTACATAATATTTTCAAACTTAGATCGAGTTCATCGAGTCCACTCCTTGTGGTACCTCCCCCACAAAGGGTAAACATTTTAGAATAATTTTAACTCTAATAAAATATGACTTAAAAGTCTGATTGTCTTCAAATTCAAGCCTTACAATATTATTATTAACCCAAAATATGGTGTGAAGATAGGATATATCGATCCACTCCTTCTGGTACCTCCCCCACAAAGGGTCAACATTTTAGAATAATTATAACTCTAATAAAATGTGACTTAAGAGCGGGATTGTCTTCAAATTTTAAATCCTACAACATTTTTATTAACCCAAAGGGTCAGCATTTTGAATATCCATGAAGCTCATGAAACACGAAATTAACAACCGATTCCATTAAAATTTAATTCCATTCAGCACATCTCAATATTTCTTCAACACAAGATCTGTTATAAAGATGGTAGAGATCGGTTGTCGGTAAAGATTTTCGGAGCATTCCTCCTGATATCTCCCCCACCAAAATGGTCAACATTTTAAATAACCAAATTTTTTTAAATAACCATTATTTTTTGCTAATACAAGATCAGCTGTGGGATTTGGAATGGGATATATGGGGGCACTTCGTACGGTACATCCCCCAAAAAATCTTGGAATAACCATGAAGCTTATAAAACATGAAATTAACGTCCGATTCTATTCGGACTTGGTACATCTCAATATTTCCAATTTGTTTTCCAAAAATTTTCACACATCTCATATAAAGTCGATGTTGTCCGAATCTGACACGTCGTAATATTTGTATCAGGCATAGGTAAGATACGAATTTGAAAAAAATTGGCCAACTCCTTTTTAAAAAATACTTCATTAAAATTAGAAAATTTACTATATATTTTCTTATTCAAATCGCCAGCCACTCCTTTTGTTTTCATACATTTTAATAAAAATGTCAATATTATTTTTGTAAATATACACACCCACCAATACTTACCACTCATATTATACGATACTAAATCAATTTGTTGGTTATTCACAAATAAATATAATACGACTTAGATTCAAGCTTATCAGCACCACTCAGACCGAATAAGTAACGTTTTAGTTTACAATGGTTTGATCTGGCAGTGAGCCAGACGCGCAGACTACTGAAATAACGAAACCAAAATAATGAACAAATAAACAGATGCTTCATGGCATCGGTACTTCACATTTAATTCATTATCAACTTTTTAAGATGAAATTGTCTGTGAAAAGTCTTCAAACACACAAAATAAACACAACAAGGTTATCAACAAAAAATATTTTCAAAATAAATAGATTTGTATATTTTATTAATTGAAGATTTATGAAAATAATTTTGACAATCTTTTGTTTGTGTTGTGTTTTTACATCTAATAGTGTCCAAAGTAAAACGAGTGCATTGTTGCAAGACAGTAAATACTACAGATATTCTCTCTGAAATATACTGAACTTACAGGGAACTATTTCATGTGGAACTTTTCTCCCTTCTGACTTAAAAAAATACCAACTACAGACAACTCCCTTCGAAAATTCACTGGAGTATTTAAAAGAAGTTGAAACCGAACAAATACGTTCTATCACACTTATACAGGGTGAGATAAAAAGATGTAAGCAAAGGCTATAGTCGTGCGGGGCCGACCATGTGATACCATACAACACTACAATATGTTCGAAGTCCCTTTATATGCAAATCCATTTTGGAAGATTTCATTTTTGAAATAATGCCCTGCCCAGAGGTTACCCTTAGGTTTTTGACCCGGAGAATTTGGCCAATATTTACGCACTCTGTAGTATTGTGAAGTATTCCAAATAATGGCACACGAAAGTTGTGGTCCATTTTACAGCTAAATATAATCCAATGGTCATCCAAAATGCTAGACTTCTTCTCTGTCCTCAACTCTCTTCCGATGCGAAAATCCGTGTCGATTAGTTTTCAATTGTGGCCTACAGAACCGACCACAAAATTAGAAAAATTTAAATTTTTGTAGCCATTTAAACCTCTAAATGCGCATCCTAAGAACAATAGGCTTCAATTCCGACCCATCCCCATGCAAAATTTCGTGAGGATCGGACGATAGTTGCGACATACATATAATACCCTCAAAACGTAGTGTTGGGGAGTGTAAAAATTTAGAAAATTTAAAATTCAAAATTGTGAGTGAAATTGAAAAAATCGCATGCGATAAAAAAATATGACAAACATGAAAATGACAATATGACAAACATATTATCCCGCGATTTTCTTAGATTTTATCCTTTTCTGGCAAGAGACCATTCCGAATTGATCTGAATTGTGAAAATCGACCCAGCGGTTCTTAATTTATAAGCAGAATATATAAGATCACTTCTTTTTCATATATATATATATATATATATATATATATATATATATATATATATATATATATATATATATATCTTCTTCTTCTATATCTATAAAAGAGGAAAATGTTTGTATGTTTGTTTGTTTGTTTGTTTGTTTGTTTGTTTGTAATTTATGGACTCGAAAACCGCTGAATAGATTTTCCTGAAAATTTCCATATATACTCCAACATCGCCTGAAAGTAACATAGGCTATATACATTTTGAATTTCCACTTGGAACTGGAGATATAGCATCAGAATCGGAGGTACGTCCCAAAAATTTAGATTTTATATGCACATATCTATTGATTGGTTGAAGATACAGTCTCCAAATTTGGAATACGTAACGGAATTTGGAACAAAAATAAGTTTGCCAAATTATATTGTAATCGGTTCAGATTTGGATATAGATCCCATATATATTTTCGACCGATTTCGTTCATTTGATGCCTCAAACACAATATGAATGTTTGACTCCAATGAAATTTGGAATGTGTGACGGGATTTAATCCGAAAATAAATTTGTCAACTTATATTGAAATCGGTTCAGATTTGGATATAGCTCCCATATATATTTTCGGCCGATTTCAAGCATTTGATGCACCAAACACGCTATGTATCCCCAATTTCAATGAAATTTGAAACGTGTGATAGATTTTATCTAAAAAATGGATTTCCCAAATTATATTGAAATCGGTTCAGATTTGGATATAGCTCCCATATACATTTTCGGCCGATTTCATGTATTTGGTGGACCAAACACGACATGTATTTCCAATTGTAATGAAATTTAAAATAAGTAACGGAATTGGGAGCCAAAATGAATTTGTCAAATTAAATTGAAATCGGTTCAGATTTGGATATAGCTCCCATATATATTTTCGACCGATTTCATGTATTTGATGCACCAAACACGCTATATATCTCTAATTTCAATGAAATTTGGAATGTGTAGCGGAAATTAAAACAAATATACATTTGTCAAATTATATTAAAATCGGTTCAGATTTGGATATAGCTCTCATATATATTTTCGACCGATTTCATGTATTTTATGCACCATACACGACATGTATGTTCGATTCCAAAGAAATTTGGAATATGTAACGGGATTTTGATTAGAAAATAAATTAGTCAAATTATATTAAAATCGGTTCAGATTTGGATATAGCTCCCATATATATTTTCCGCCGATTTCACATATTTGATGCACAAAACACGATACGTATTTCCGATTCCAACGAAGTTCGGCATGAGTGGCTAAATTTGGTACAAAAATTAAGTTTGACAAATTATATTCAAATACGCTCAGATGTGATTATAGCTCCCATATATATACTCAGCCGATTTCACATATTTGATGCACCCAAAGCGAGAGAGACAAAATCTGGCACCAGCAAAAATTGCCGAATTATATTGTAATCAGTTGAGGTTTGGATATAGCAAACATATATATTTCGGCCGATTTCATACATATTATGCACCAAACACGATATATATGACCGATTCCAATGAAATTCAGAATGTGTAGCGGAATTTGGTTATAATAATAAATGTGATAAATTAATTGGAAATTAGTTAAGATTTGGATATAGCTCCCATATATATATATATATATATATATATATATATATATATATATATATATATATATATATATATATATATATATATATATATATATATATATATATATATATATATATATATATATATATATTCTCGGCCGATTTCACATATTTGACGCACCAATTTCAATTAAATATGAAAGGTGTGGCGGAGTTTGGTGTAAAAGTAATATTTTTAAAATTATATTTAAATCGGATCAGATTGGGATATGGTTTTAATAAGAACCATTGACCCACAACGCCCTAGGTTAACACTAAAACACAACACAACAATTTATTTGAAATACGCTTATTACGGCGAAGTATGTTGCTATCTCGAATTCACTAATCTCTAAATTTAGATTCATCTATATGATATGTCTACGATATTTGGCTATATTCTTCATCGAAATCCGAATAAAAAAGCCAGAAGTTCGCTTTTTGTGTATTTTGGATATTGCCTGTGTGTTATTTTCAGCGTTTCAGAATGGAAATGTTGGTATTTTTTCACACAAGGTAGTGGTCCATTCTACCCGCTGTCCTAAACCCTAACTACATGCAATATTTCGTGTCCTTTGGTTTCTATTTGCGACCTTATAACAGTTGCAAAATCAGGAACATTTTTAGTTGTGGGTCCATTTCAACCCCTAAATGATCATATTTAAAAATAATACGCCTAGCTCTTCTGAGCCTAACCCTACCCTTGTGAACATTTTGGTGAAGATCGGACGATAATTGCAATCTGTATATAATAACCCCATATAAGTCAAATTGAAATCGCATGCGATAAAAAATTTGAAGAATTAAAAAAAAAAAATGTCAAAAAAATACTACAAAATCTATAATAACATCATTATTGGCATTTTTATGCGAATTTTTAGATTTTATTCTTTTATGCATTCTGGATTATGAGGGCATTCTGAATTGACAAAATTTGTCAAAATCGGTCCAGCCGGTCCATCTCGAATTCACTAATTGCAATAGAAATGCCACTCTACTTAAAAAAATTGCAGTTTCCTGCACGCTTGGTATTTGCTATGAAATAAATAAATCCAAATGACAAACCCTTCGTGTATGCATGTCATGTTACTGCTTTTGTAATGATTTTGTTTATTAACGCATTAAATTAGTGCAATATTTTTTTTTTAATTTTTAAATTTGTGTTTCTTTATCCAACATATATTCGTATATAAAATTTTAAATGCATATAAAATCAAAAGGGGTAGCGAAGCGCACCGGGTTCAGCTAGTATATATATATATATATATATATATATATATATATATATATATATATATATATATATATATATATATATATATATATATATATATATATATATATATATATATATATATATATATATATAAATAATAATAATTTACCCGGGTAATAATTTACCCGGACAATAGTTAATCCGATGGCCGCTCAAATTGGTAGGTTTCTTCCCAGTCCCAAACTCTAACTCCATGTAAATTTTCGCGTCGATTGGTTCATAATTGTGACCTATAGAGCAATTACAAAATCAGGAATATTTTACGTTTTTTGTCCATTTCAACCCCTAAATATTGTGCGATCATCTCCAAAAACAATAGGGTTCTATTCTGACCCTAACCCCACCTCCAATTTCAATTTCGTGAGGATTTGTTCATAATTGCGACCTGTAGCATGATTACAAATTAACATGGACAGACGGACGGACGGACATACATAGCTAGATCGACTATACTTTCCTAAGTGGGAAACCAATATTTCGAGGTGTTACATAATTTTTGGCCCATCAAACTTCTAATACCCCCACCATATAGTGTTGTAGGGTATAAAAATATCGGATATCGCCTGTAAGTAATGCTGGTATTTTTTTACAAAAAATTATAGGTCCATTGTACCCGCTGTCCCAAACTCTAATTTTATGCGAGATTTCGTGTCCAAAATGAGGAAAATTATTAGTTATTATATATTGCGGACATCTTTTATAACAATAGGCCTAGCCCTTCTGAGCCCAACCCTATCCTTTTGAAAAATTTCGTGAGGATCGGACGATATTTGCAATCTGTATGTAATAACCCCTACCTGTGTTGTAAGGTAAAAAAAATATTACAAAATATTATAAGTCAAATTGAAAAAATCGCACGCGATGCTTTTATGTCAAGAGGGCA